TAACATTTTACATTTCAAAGAATTTCTACATTTTCTTATCTATAAAATATGGGGTAAATGAAGTAATATAATGGTAAAAAAACATTTAAAACTTTAAAACAAAATTGCTTATCAGATACAATATGGTTTAAGTTATGACTGTTTTAGAAGCTTACGTTTTATGCAAAAAGTGTGTCGAGTTTTTAATGCATTAGAAGCGTAACGATCTAAAATGAATTGTGCGCGACACTGTTTACATGTTCAGCGCAGTCATCAAAATATTCTGCGTCTTTTGCATATTTCATATTTTCCTGGAAAATAAGTTGCACCTGATTATAAGCCGAACCGGAGCGTTGTTGAGAGAAAATAAGGCGCATTTGTGTATTTTATAATTACATTCAGAAATAATGTAAAATACAGTTAAATAAAACAAAACATTATAAACGTGTTTTATTTCCCCTCAGTCCACAGCTGATCCTGGAGTATACACACATGTGGCATGACATTTATTATAAACTCAAGCCTAAACTAAATAAACATGTTTTGCATGCTTGACATTAGTTGTGTTATATTGTTGCAGGACGTTTGAGATTATTAAAATGCACAAAATGCATCGATTCAACGTTGATTTAGCGTTTGCTGTGCAATCTGTCTCATCCCACTTTATTTCATTTAAGTTTCTCTTAGTTTTTCATCAACGGTGCATTTGTACAGTTTTGAGTCAATAGTTTCCATCCTAGCTTTAGTTTAGAACAACCCCCTGTACACACACACACACACACACACACACACACGTACAGTGCTGGTCATCAGGACACACACACACACACACACACACACACACACACACACACACACACACACACACACACACACACACACACACACACACACACACACACACACACACGTACAGTGCTGGTCATCAGGACACACACACACACACACACACACACACACACACGTACAGTGCTGGTCATCAGGACACACACACACACACACACACACACACACACACACGTACAGTGCTGGTCATCAGGACACACACACACACACACACACACACACACACACACACACACACACACACACACACACACACACACACACACACACACGTACAGTGCTGGTCATCAGGACACACACACACACACACACACACACACACACTCTGGGAACTGGCCATCTATAGCAGCTGCTCAGCGCTGAGGCGTTTCCTCCATCACGTGTTTCTCAGGGTTAGAGTTATGGCACATTCATGCATTTGACAAACGCATTTCTCCAGAGAGATTTGCAGTGCATTATATTGCGTGACAAAAGCATTGTGACATCTATTATCATGTTTCACTCTTTTCACCTGTGTTATCTTGCCTTAATGTATAAGCAACAGAATTCAGCTGATGCACATCACAGGTGTGTATATTGTGTTTTACAGCAAGTAAAAACAGTAAAAATAGCATACACATAACACGTATATATATGTGTAAAAGTCTCTGTGTTCAGTAGCGGTGTCGTGTCAGCGGCCCCATAGTTAATCACTAATGATCTTTACAACAGAAGTGAATCAATCAAAACTAACTTTATCTGGACAATAACTCTATTCTAGAGCTGCTGTAAAGCCTAAACACTCTCTGTTACTGTAATCTCCTGTTATCACTGTAAAGCTGCTGTGAAACTCTATACTGTTACAGCGCTGTATAGATGAAAGAGACTCGACTTGATTTTGCCCAAACCGCCTTGAACTCACGATCCTTGAACTGTGTGTCGCAGCCTCTCAAATGCATGAAACGCGAACCTGTTGCTGCTAAACCTGTGTGTGTGTGTGTGTGTGTGTGTTCAGAAGTCTCACACACACACGACCTCTCTCACCTCGCTCACCTCGCTCGCTCTCGCCGGGCTTGAAAGATTAATTGTAGCTCTTCTCTGAGCGCTGGAACATGTGTCGGGAATAATGGCTCTTCCTCGCCTTCCTTCAGCCCACGGCTTTAATTATCCACACACACACGCACACACACACGCGCACACACACACACACACACTGCAAGATGATATAAAGACTGAGCAATCGCTGAGCCTCTCGCACAGATTGCATTAGTGAAACGCGAGATGTGATGTAAAGGCCATTTGCTGGTTACCTGAGCGTGAAGCAGAAACATAATGATATTAAATTCACAATAAAATCTTACGTTGAGTGATAAAACACAGATAATGGCTTCACATGCAGACCGAAGGCTGTGTGTTATTCAGAGGCAGAGCACACATTAGATGTGTAAATGATGTTTTCTGTGTTTTTACTGCAGGAAATGTAGTTTTGCACAAGTCTGCGTCTCATAAAGTTTCTGACACGCTTTATTGCTATTCTTCATAAATAATTATTTCCACCGTAATTCTTTCGTTCACACTCACTCGACGTGACTTTGTCCTGGTGTTTACATGCACTCTTCTCGTAGATGAAGTCATTCAACATGAATATTAACATCTGACGTATAATAGAGGCTGAGAGAGTTATTAATCCTCAAGAATAGAGCAGTTAAAAATGATATTGCAATATTTAGTTTTTGCATTGCGATATGAAAGAATACTCACTTGAATAGCTAACTTTAGACAGAATTATTAATTCCAGAATGATTAAGATGATTTTGTTGCGGAGTGCATCTGTTTAAAAAATAAAAATAATCCTAAAAAGCTGAAAAATTACTTTTTACTCACTTTATTCTTGGATTGCGAACCATCATTTCAGAGCTGAACGATTTGGGAAAAGCTTTGGTCGTTCATGATCATATTTATGTATTTATATCAAACCTTTTTCAGTAAACATAACATTAAGTTTTTAAAAAACTCTTTACTTTCTGAGTTTATCATCAGCCACATTCCCACTGTTTTTGATTCATTCATTCAATATGACTACAAAATATGATTTTTGTAGTGCTTATCAATAAAAATAAACAAAATGACAAATATGTTGCAATAATACTATTGTACTGCAAAATAAAAAATCAAGTATTTAATCATTATTTGGTAACACTTTACAATAATGTTCATTAGTTAACATGAGTTAATGTATTTACTAACATGAACTATCCATGAGCAATACATTTGTTACAGTATTTATTAATATTTGTTAACGTTAGTTTATAATAATCCAGCTGTTCATTGTGTGCTCATGTTAGTTCACAGTGCATTAACTAATGTTAAAAAGGTTTTAATAAAGTATTAGTAAATGTTGAAATTAATAAATGCTGACTGTTGCATTAAGCCATATTATTACATGTATTTCGGTAAATCATGCAGGCCTACTTGTGAAGGTTCAGACTGAGAGGTTTTAACTGCATCTATCAGTTTAAAAAAATAAAAACTGTGCCTTTGTATCCAGTTATTCTCTACATACGACTGTAATAACTACTATTACAGTGTGTCACATTTGCAGCAATTTCTTCTTGAACCTTTGTGTAGTGAAGCCATTGTTGAGCTCCCCTGAACGACTGATCCCGGGCCTGTTCTCCACAGGCGTTAATAATGTTGTGTCTGAATCCCGTCTCAGATGCTCTGTCATGAAAGATCAGAGTTGTGTAATCTGGACACCGGAGGGGAAACTGCACACGCCAGCTCTCCTGTATTCTACTCATTAAACAGCACATATTCTGCTTTCTCCATGTTCATCTGTGTTCAGTGTGTGATGTTGCTGTTCCAGTTCTCCTCTATATCAGTGTCAGTGTTTCTGAACTCCTGAAACGCCTCCATTGTATCTTGAGTTTCTTCCGGAACGAACACGTCACAATATTCCTCATTATAATAATTAATGTGCAGAATAAAGGGGCGGGGCCTGGTTGAGTTAGTCAGTGGTGTGTTAAACTGGCGGTTATGGAAAGGGGCGGGACATTTCCCAAACACACTCGAAGCGCTCGACCAATCACAACACACTGCTCCAGCCGACCAATCAGAGCACAGTGTGCTTTCAGGAGGAGGGGCTTCATAGAGACAGGAAGTGAACAGAGCGTTACTGACAGACTGGGAAGAGAGGAGCCGCAACAATGGAGAATATGAGGAGAATAATCAACATTCAAGCAGGAAAACCTGTTCTAGTAGAGCCTGAAAACGATTAAACTTGTTTGAAAAACACCATCATGACATCAAACCTTTTTTTCTTTATAATAACGCGCACTGGATGAATAACGCCATGAACATGCATTAACCTTATAAATCCCACCGGATCATATTTAATACGCAAAATGCCTCTAAATGATCAAAACTTTGTTCGCACGCGATCTCTCCAGTCTTCTGTGTGTGACTGATAGTTTACAGTGTTTTATCAGTAAAAGCTCTTTAACTGTACAGACGTCCTCCTTCAGCTCGAGCTTCACGGGTCTCTAAATCTGCTCTGATTTTCATCAAGTAAACGCAAGAATAACTTTGATATTGTTAGTAATATTTCAACCGAACTGAGGTTTACTTGATTATCCATCATTTATTATAAAAATCATGAGTATCAAATATGATCATCAGGTTTTTGAGGAAGGTTTATTTGTTCGTCTCTCAATCATCTTTGTATTGCATTATGTTTTAAAACTACTGAGCTTTGATCATAAAACTAAGCATTTAAATATTATCTTACTAAGACATTATTGACAGATATGGATATTTATATACCTTTTATGTAAGTATTAGCTATACTGTTATAAAGATCACACTGATTTACATTACAAGCATCAGAATTTCATATAAATCAGCATCTGCATCAAACTGCATATTGTTGCTCAGTTTGAGGCTGTTTTTCCTCCATATTCTCACTATATGAGCCATATATTATTGACAGATATTGATATCATATGCATTTTATGCACCAAAAAACATAAAACACACATAATATATATATATATTTTAAATATTTAATATGAGGTTTAATAACGTTTAGATGATGTATCTGGCTGTTAGTCAGGCTTTACAGGGTTAAAGCAGTGATTGTGAGTTCATGTGTTAACATGCGAGTGAGTGTGTGTTCTCTGTTCCTCTGGTTCTCCCAGTCATCTCTCCCAGTCCAGCTCTCTGGAGGAGGTTCGTGTTGATGTGGAGAAGTTTGTGCCTCCAGCACCCAGAAAGGTTGAAATGAGACGCGACCCGGTTCTCGGCTTCGGCTTCGTGGCGGGCAGCGAGAAACCAGTGGTGGTTCGATCCGTTACTCCAGGTATCTACTCCAGTTCTTCTGCTTATTATCCCATAAATACAGTAAAACAGCAAACTCTCGCATCTACTCCAGTTCTTCTGCTTATTATCCCATAAATACAGTAAAACAGCAAACTCTCGCATCTACTCCAGTTCTTCTGCTTATTATCCCATAAATACAGTAAAACAGCAAACTCTCGCATCTACTCCAGTTCTTCTGCTTATTATCCCATAAATACAGTAAAACAGCAAACTCTCGCATCTACTCCAGTTCTTCTGCTTATTATCCCATAAATACAGTAAAACAGCAAACTCTCGCATCTACTCCAGTTCTTCTGCTTATTATCCCATAAATGCAGTAAAACAGCAAACTCTCGCATCTACTCCAGTTCTTCTGCTTATTATCCCATAAATGCAGTAAAACAGCAAACTCTCGCATCTACTCCAGTTCTTCTGCTTATTATCCCATAAATACAGTAAAACAGCAAACTCTCGCATCTACTCCAGTTCTTCCGCTTATTATCCCATAAATACAGTAAAACAGCAAACTCTCGCATCTACTCCAGTTCTTCTGCTTATTATCCCATAAATGCAGTAAAACAGTAAACTCTCGCATCTACTCCAGTTCTTCTGCTTATTATCCCATAAATACAGTAAAACAGCAAACTCTCGCATCTACTCCAGTTCTTCTGCTTATTATCCCATAAATACAGTAAAACAGCAAACTCCCGCATCTACTCCAGTTCTTCTGCTTATTATCCCATAAATACAGTAAAACAGCAAACTCTCGCATCTACTCCAGTTCTTCTGCTTATTATCCCATAAATGCAGTAAAACAGCAAACTCTCGCATCTACTCCAGTTCTTCTGCTTATTATCCCATAAATGCAGTAAAACAGCAAACTCTCGCATCTACTCCAGTTCTTCTGCTTATTATCCCATAAATGCAGTAAAACAGCAAACTCTCGCATCTACTCCAGTTCTTCTGCTTATTATCCCATAAATACAGTAAAACAGCAAACTCTCGCATCTACTCCAGTTCTTCTGCTTATTATCCCATAAATACAGTCAAACAGCAAACTCTCGCATCTACTCCAGTTCTTCTGCTTATTATGCCATAAATACAGTAAAACAGCAAACTCTCGCATCTACTCCAGTTCTTCTGCTTATTATCCCATAAATACAGTAAAACAGCAAACTCTCGCATCTACTCCAGTTCTTCTGCTTATTATCCCATAAATGCAGTAAAACAGCAAACTCTCGCATCTACTCCAGTTCTTCTGCTTATTATCCCATAAATGCAGTAAAACAGCAAACTCCCGCATCTACTCCAGTTCTTCTGCTTATTATCCCATAAATGCAGTAAAACAGCAAACTCTCGCATCTACTCCAGTTCTTCTGCTTATTATCCCATAAATGCAGTAAAACAGCAAACTCTCGCATCTACTCCAGTTCTTCTGCTTATTATCCCATAAATGCAGTAAAACAGCAAACTCTCGCATCTACTCCAGTTCTTCTGCTTATTATCCCATAAATGCAGTAAAACAGCAAACTCTCGCATCTACTCCAGTTCTTCTGCTTATTATCCCATAAATACAGTAAAACAGCAAACTCTCGCATCTACTCCAGTTCTTCCGCTTATTATCCCATAAATGCAGTAAAACAGCAAACTCTCGCATCTACTCCAGTTCTTCTGCTTATTATCCCATAAATGCAGTAAAACAGCAAACTCTCGCATCTACTCCAGTTCTTCTGCTTATTATCCCATAAATGCAGTAAAACAGCAAACTCTCGCATCTACTCCAGTTCTTCTGCTTATTATCCCATAAATACAGTAAAACAGCAAACTCTCGCATCTACTCCAGTTCTTCTGCTTATTATCCCATAAATACAGTAAAACAGCAAACTCTCGCATCTACTCCAGTTCTTCTGCTTATTATCCCATAAATACAGTAAAACAGCAAACTCTCGCATCTACTCCAGTTCTTCTGCTTATTATCCCATAAATACAGTAAAACAGCAAACTCCCGCATCTACTCCAGTTCTTCTGCTTATTATCCCATAAATACAGTAAAACAGCAAACTCTCGCATCTACTCCAGTTCTTCTGCTTATTATCCCATAAATACAGTAAAACAGCAAACTCTCGCATCTACTCCAGTTCTTCTGCTTATTATCCCATAAATACAGTAAAACAGCAAACTCTCGCATCTACTCCAGTTCTTCTGCTTATTATCCCATAAATACAGTTAAACAGCAAACTCTCGCATCTACTCCAGTTCTTCTGCTTATTATCCCATAAATACAGTAAAACAGCAAACTCTCGCATCTACTCCAGTTCTTCTGCTTATTATCCCATAAATACAGTAAAACAGCAAACTCTCGCATCTACTCCAGTTCTTCTGCTTATTATCCCATAAATACAGTAAAACAGCAAACTCCCGCATCTACTCCAGTTCTTCTGCTTATTATCCCATAAATACAGTAAAACAGCAAACTCTCGCATCTACTCCAGTTCTTCCGCTTATTATCCCATAAATACAGTAAAACAGCAAACTCCCGCATCTACTCCAGTTCTTCTGCTTATTATGCCATAAATACAGTAAAACAGCAAACTCCCGCATCTACTCCAGTTCTTCTGCTTATTATCCCATAAATACAGTAAAAGAGCAAATTCTCGCATCTACTCCAGTTCTTCTGCTTATTATCCCATAAATACAGTAAAACAGCAAACTCTCGCATCTACTCCAGTTCTTCTGCTTATTATCCCATAAATACAGTAAAAGAGCAAACTCTCACATCCACTCCAGTTCTTCTGCTTATTATGCCATAAATACAGTAAAACAGCAAACTCTCGCATCTACTCCAGTTCTTCTGCTTATTATCCCATAAATGCAGTAAAACAGCAAACTCTCGCATCTACTCCAGTTCTTCTGCTTATTATCCCATAAATACAGTAAAACAGCAAACTCCCGCATCTACTCCAGTTCTTCTGCTTATTATGCCATAAATACAGTAAAACAGCAAACTCCCGCATCTACTCCAGTTCTTCTGCTTATTATCCCATAAATACAGTAAAACAGCAAACTCTCGCATCTACTCCAGTTCTTCCGCTTATTATCCCATAAATACAGTAAAACAGCAAACTCTCGCATCTACTCCAGTTCTTCCGCTTATTATCCCATAAATACAGTAAAACAGCAAACTCTCGCATCTACTCCAGTTCTTCCGCTTATTATCCCATAAATACAGTAAAACAGCAAACTCTCGCATCTACTCCAGTTCTTCCGCTTATTATCCCATAAATACAGTAAAACAGCAAACTCTCGCATCTACTCCAGTTCTTCCGCTTATTATCCCATAAATACAGTAAAACAGCAAACTCCCGCATCTACTCCAGTTCTTCTGCTTATTATCCCATAAATACAGTAAAACAGCAAACTCCCGCATCTACTCCAGTTCTTCTGCTTATTATCCCATAAATACAGTAAAACAGCAAACTCTCGCATCTACTCCAGTTCTTCTGCTTATTATCCCATAAATACAGTAAAACAGCAAACTCTCGCATCTACTCCAGTTCTTCTGCTTATTATCCCATAAATACAGTAAAACAGCAAACTCCCGCATCTACTCCAGTTCTTCTGCTTATTATCCCATAAATACAGTAAAACAGCAAACTCTCGCATCTACTCCAGTTCTTCCGCTTATTATCCCATAAATACAGTAAAACAGCAAACTCTCGCATCTACTCCAGTTCTTCCGCTTATTATCCCATAAATACAGTAAAACAGCAAACTCTCGCATCTACTCCAGTTCTTCCGCTTATTATCCCATAAATACAGTAAAACAGCAAACTCTCGCATCTACTCCAGTTCTTCTGCTTATTATCCCATAAATACAGTAAAACAGCAAACTCTCGCATCAACTCCAGTTCTTCTGCTTATTATCCCATAAATACAGTAAAACAGCAAACTCTCGCATCTACTCCAGTTCTTCTGCTTATTATCCCATAAATACAGTAAAACAGCAAAGTCCCGCATCTACTCCAGTTCTTTTGCTTATTATCCCATAAATACAGTAAAACAGCAAACTCTCGCATCTACTCCAGTTCTTCTGCTTATTATCCCATAAATACAGTAAAACAGCAAACTCTCGCATCTACTCCAGTTCTTCTGCTTATTATCCCATAAATACAGTAAAACAGCAAACTCTCGCATCTACTCCAGTTCTTCTGCTTATTATCCCATAAATACAGTAAAACAGCAAAGTCCCGCATCTACTCCAGTTCTTCTGCTTATTATCCCATAAATACAGTAAAACAGCAAACTCCCGCATCTACTCCAGTTCTTCTGCTTATTATCCCATAAATCGAGCGTCAGCGTCAGTTCTGGCAGGCCAGGTAGTCAAGCTGCTGCTTATGCTATTTGCTATCAACACTGTCCCGTCAGCTGATCTGCTCCAGCTGAGCTGCATTAGCTGGTTAACTCCCCTCGCTGTTCAATGGCCAAGCTCAAACAAGGCGCCTTATTTTAAGCTCATTCACCTTGCTCATACATGCTTGCTGCTCGCTCTGCTAGCTCGCTGCTCGCTTCTGCTGGCTCGCTGCTCGCTTCTGGTGCAATATTGACACAGGACGACGTGATTCATTCTCCATTCATCTCTGAAAATCTTCACGAAGCTAAGTTCCTTTTTAATATTCATTGCTAAAAGCTATCAGTGTGTTGGCAACATCCTTCTTGTTAATGCTATTCGTGTGGCATTTGGGCTTATCTAACTAATCGTTTTCATAAAAATGCTTATGCGATCATATTGGCTACGTGCGTTATCTGTTGTCATTGGCAACTGATCGCGTTGCTCACGCTGGCTTTTACCACTATGCAGCGCAGATTCAAACAGCTTGCTGTGATAGGAATTCACTTCTGCGGACTGCCTCCGGACCGTATACAGCTCATTCTTACGCATTGTGCAACAACTACGGCGGTGACACGTACTCGCTCCGGTTTAACCCTTTAAGCTATGGGGCGGTGGTTTCTGCTGCTTACGAACGATACCTCCGTCCCGATGTTCGGGATATTCTTGACGCCCAGAAGCCATGAGCTCAAGTCTCTGATTTGTTTCGTTAATAAAACACATTTGATCATTATTTTGCTCGCGCTCTGCTCAGTTAACGCCCCTGAATGCGCTATCAGCTGTTCATTTATTCATCTAGCTCGTTCTCAGAGGTGGATTAATCATCTATCCATAGAGCTTACACTGTAGACTGTCAAACAGTAAATACAGATAATCTAGGTAACAGCATGTTTTAGCTATTGCGGTCTTGATTAGTCATTTCAGTAATTAATCAATATTTTTACTATTATAAATCGCTAAATCAATATTTTTACTATTATAAATCGCTAAATTAGGGCGGCTCAGTCGACACCGTTCGAGACACTCAATTTTGTTTTGGGGGGAATAGCTCGTGTGGTCAAATAATCATCCTCTGTATCACAGAGGATTGCCAGGTGTGGTTTTGTTTGGGGGGATATTTTAGCTCTCACAGTCTAAAACTGTGTGAGCGTTCCCTAATGCTGCTGCTGCTGTCCTCTGACTCTCTGCTATTTCATGGTGCTCATGAAAGGTCAGAGGACTCCCTGAACAGAGCCATACCGCCAATTTCAATTCAGGAACATCAACCTGTTTGCAATCTATTCAAATAATTCTTAATTATTTTGTCTGTGTGTTCTTGACTTAATGGACCTGACAGAAATCGAGCGTCAGCGTCAGTTCTGGCAGGCCAGGTAGTCAAGCCGCTGCTTATGCTATTTGCTATCAACACTGTCCCGTCAGCTGATCTGCTCCAGCTGAGCTGCATTAGCTGGTTAACTCCCCTCGCTGTTCAATGGCCAAGCTCAAACAAGGCGCCTTATTTTAAGCTCATTCACCTTGCTCATACATGCTTGCTGCTCGCTCTGCTAGCTCGCTGCTCGCTTCTGCTGGCTCGCTGCTCGCTTCTGGTGCCCGCCACCTCCCCAGCTCCTCCTTATGCATAACGTGGCATTTGCTATGTCATGTTGCCTGCTCTGTTCACAGGGGGATATTTTAGCTCTCACAGTCTAAAACTGTGTGAGCGTTCCCTAATGCTGCTGCTGCTGTCCTCTGACTCTCTGCTATTTCATGGTGCTCATGAAAGGTCAGAGGACTCCCTGAACAGAGCCATACCGCCAATTTCAATTCAGGAACATCAACCTGTTTGCAATCTATTCAAATAATTCTTAATTATTTTGTCTGTGTGTTCTTGACTTAATGGACCTGACAGAAATACAGTAAAACAGCAAACTCTCGCATCTACTCCAGTTCTTCCGCTTATTATCCCATAAATACAGTAAAGCAGCAAACTCTCGCATCTACTCCAGTTCTTCTGCTTATTATCCCATAAATACAGTAAAACAGCAAACTCTCGCATCTACTCCAGTTCTTCTGCTTATTATCCCATAAATACAGTAAAACAGCAAACTCTCGCATCTACTCCAGTTCTTCTGCTTATTATCCCATAAATACAGTAAAACAGCAAACTCTCGCATCTACTCCAGTTCTTCTGCTTATTATCCCATAAATACAGTAAAACAGCAAACTCTCGCATCTACTCCAGTTCTTCTGCTTATTATCCCATAAATACAGTAAAACAGCAAACTCTCGCATCTACTCCAGTTCTTCCGCTTATTATCCCATAAATACAGTAAAACAGCAAACTCCCGCATCTACTCCAGTTCTTCTGCTTATTATCCCATAAATACAGTTAAACAGCAAACTCTCGCATCTACTCCAGTTCTTCTGCTTATTATCCCATAAATACAGTAAAACAGCAAACTCTCGCATCTACTCCAGTTCTTCTGCTTATTATCCCATAAATACAGTAAAACAGCAAACTCTCGCATCTACTCCAGTTCTTCTGCTTATTATCCCATAAATACAGTAAAACAGCAAAGTCCCGCATCTACTCCAGTTCTTCTGCTTATTATCCCATAAATACAGTAAAACAGCAAACTCTCGCATCTACTCCAGTTCTTCTGCTTATTATCCCATAAATACAGTAAAACAGCAAACTCCCGCATCTACTCCAGTTCTTCTGCTTATTATCCCATAAATACAGTAAAACAGCAAACTCTCGCATCTACTCCAGTTCTTCTGCTTATTATCCCATAAATACAGTAAAACAGCAAAGTCCCGCATCTACTCCAGTTCTTCTGCTTATTATCCCATAAATACAGTAAAACAGCAAACTCTCGCATCTACTCCAGTTCTTCTGCTTATTATCCCATAAATACAGTAAAACAGCAAACTCCCGCATCTACTCCAGTTCTTCTGCTTATTATCCCATAAATACAGTAAAACAGCAAACTCTCGCATCTACTCCAGTTCTTCTGCTTATTATCCCATAAATACAGTAAAACAGCAAACTCTCGCATCTACTCCAGTTCTTCTGCTTATTATCCCATAAATACAGTAAAACAGCAAACTCTCGCATCTACTCCAGTTCTTCTGCTTATTATCCCATAAATACAGTAAAACAGCAAACTCTCGCATCTACTCCAGTTCTTCTGCTTATTATCCCATAAATACAGTAAAACAGCAAACTCTCGCATCTACAGTTCTTCTGTGTTTATTCACATAACGCTGTCATTTCAGGCAAGTTGAGCTTGATTAAATAATTCTGTATTACAAATTAAAGTAATTAAACTTGACCTTTTCTATCTTCACTTTCACTACTGTTCTAACGTTTGGGGTCGTGTTAGTGTGTGTGTGTGATGCATAGGTTTAGGGGTCGTGTTAGTGTGTGTGTGTGTGTGTGTGTGATGGATAGGTTTAGGGGTCATGTTAGTGTGTGTGTGTGTGTGTGTGTGTGATAGGTTTAGGGGTCGTGATAGTGTGTGTGTGTGTGTGTGTGTGTGTGTGTGTGATAGGTTTAGGGGTCGTGTTAGTGTAAGTAGATAAAATACTGTACACAGTTTGGACGGTATAAAAACCATTACGTCTATGGAGGTCCTCATAAAACGTGTGTGTTTTTTTTGTGTGTGTGTGTGTGTGTGTGTGTGTGCAGGAGGTCCTTCAGAAGGGAGGCTGATCCCAGGAGACGAGATCGTGATGATAAATGATGAAGCCGTGAGTTCGGCTCCGAGGGAACGGGTCATTGATCTGGTCAGGTACTGGAAACCATCAAACCTGTAGTGTGTCGCTCCTCATCTGAGACTCGGTGTAAATCATCAGATGTTTCTGTCTACAGTCACCGTATAGAAAGGGTTTGAACTGTAGCTGTGATTTAAGGTTTTCAAGACCGGAGCTTCAGATTCTGGACGTGTTTCAAGCACACACCCCTGATCCAGCGAGAGAATCTTCACTTTATCTCGTCTGTGTTCTGTGTTTTGCAGGAGTTGTAAGGAGTCGATCATCCTGACGGTGGTTCAGCCGTACCCTGTGAGTCCTGGTGTTCACGATCCTCTATATATTAACCTCTGGTGTCATGTTAGTTCGGCAGTGTCTCGGCTGATTTTAGGTCCTGTGTTTTAATCCGTTCTAAAATTTTAAAATCACCAATAAAAGTCTGCAGATCAGTGTTATTTCAGTCTCATTGATTTACTATTAGTGGTTTTAATATTTTAAAATAGATATTATTTATTTTTGTATAGATTTTCACTTTGATTGGAAAGTTTTAGTATTTTTTGTTTTGTCTTTTTGGATTTTTGGAAATATTTTTTTTATGTCTGTTTAGTTTTTATTTATAACGTTATAGCTGAAAAAAAATCTTTAACTTATATTTCAGCTGTAATTATAGTTAACGATAATAATCCTGCTGCACATTCCATCTTTTTTTGCGCAATTCTTTCAAAAACCTTTAGAAAAAATATAGGAATAAATATTATATAGGTAAATTTTTTTGTATTTCAATTCATATTTTGTTATTTCAATTAATTTTTTTTTTATTTCATGTAACAAAAATATTTGTTATCAACTCTAATTTTAGTTAACGATAATAATCCAGCTGCAGATTTTTTTCAATCTTATTTTGTTTTAGTTCATGTTTTTTATTTTATTTAAAATAACGAAAAGTGATTTTTATGGTTTTAATTTTAGTTAACAATAAAATGCTGCAGATCCATCTAAACCAGTTTATTTCTTTCAAATACTCTTTTTATATATTTTATTTCAGTTAATGTTTATTTTATTTCAGATAACAAAACTTTTTTTTTAAGTTTTTAACTGTAATTTTAGTTAACGATTATAATATTTTGTTTTAGTTAATGTTTGTTTCAAATAATTTTTATGCTTTTAATTTTAGTTACCAATAAAATGCTGCAGATTCCATCTAAACCTGTTTATTTCTTTCAAATTTTATTTCAGTTAATGTTTATTTTATTTCAAGGAACGAAAAAGTTTGTTTTTTTGTTTTGTTTTTTAAAACTTTTTTAGCTGTAATATTAATTTTCTTTAACGATGATGACCCTGCTGCAGATTGCATCTAGACCTGCTTATGAGTGTGTGGCTCAGACGATAATGGCTTGATTTACATTGACATGTCAGTGATGTTGTTGCTCTGTTATTCCCCTTCAGTCGCCCAAATCTGCCTTCATCAGTGCGGCTAAAAAGGCCAAGCTGAAATCCAACCCGGTCAAAGTGCGCTTTGCTGAAGAAGTCATTATTAACGGACAAGTACCGGTAAGTGAAAAACGACACGTTTGGCTTGGATAATGTGACATTTCTGATATTCAGGGAGAAAAACAGTTGGGTTCTGATTATATTCATCTTGGATTGATTGGATTGTGAGTCAGGTGATTAAAGTAAGAGGATTGGGGAGAGTGTTATTGCACGACACACGTTACATAAATCACTGTGTTCGTTAATAACTGTGCATTACAGTGTTTCGTAATTAGTGGCACAACAAGAGGTTGGTTATTAAAATGATGCAGACTCATGTTTGTGTGCAGCGAAGTGATTTTATTAAAAACACGAGTGTTTTCGTCTGCAGGAATCGGTGAAGGATAATTCCCTGCTCTTCATGCCAAACGTGCTGAAGGTGTATCTGGAAAACGGACAAACGAAATCCTTCAAGTTTGACTGCAACACCTCCATTAAGGTATTAAAACATAGCAAAAGTGTTTCATTCACAAATCACTGCCGCCACATTGTGGAGGCGGCCGCATAATGATTTAATGGTTGGCAATGTGATGAAATATTTACAGTCAAGTTAAACACTACTGTTCTAAAGATTATATTTGAATACTTTTGTTCACATTAGATTGATCAAAAGTGACAGTAAAGGCATTTATGTTACAAAAGATTCTATCTCAAATAAATGCTGAACTTTCTATTCATCAAAGAGTCCTGAAAAATAACATGTGAAAAATATGAAAAACACTGCTAATAATCATAAATGTGTCTTGATCATCAGATCCTCATATTAGAGTGATTTCTAAAGGATCATGTGACACTGAAGACTGGAGTAATGATGCTGAAAATTCAGCTTTGATCACAGGAATAAATTACACTTTACTGTATATTCACATAGAGAACAGCTGATTTACATTGTAATAATATTTCGCATTTTTACTTGTATTAACTTTTACTGTAGTTTTGATCAAATAAACAGAAGAGACTCTCTCAGAAACATTACATGTCGCACCGACCCCAAACATTGGCCGGTAGTGCCACTATCACTCAACGCCGGCGATATGTTATGCCCTAAATTAATACATGATTATTAACTAACTGTATTTTTCTATGTACATTTCTGAAATCCACTTTCTGTAAAGCTGCTTTGAAACAAAATGTATTGTGAAAAGCGCTATACAAATACATTTGAATTGAATTGAATTGAATTCAATAGTGTAAGTGAATGTGGATGTCGTTGATCTCAGACACACACTACCCGCTGAAGAGGAATAATAGAGATGTTCTTCTGTTTGAAAGGATGTTATTCTGACGCTGCAAGAGAAGCTGTCGATTAAAAGCATCGAGCACTTCTCTCTGATGCTGGAGCACAAGATGGACGGATCTGCAACCAAGCTGATGCTTCTTCACGAGCAGGAGATGCTGATGCAGGTCAGTGTCACACTATCAGTTCATATCACTATAACACTATCAGTTCATATCACTATAACACTATCAGTTCATATCACTATCAGTTCATATCACTATCAGTTCATATCACTATCAGTTCATATCACTATAACACTATCAGTTCATATCACTATCAGTTCATATCACTATAACACTATCAGTTCATATCACTATAACACTATCAGTTCATATCACTATCAGTTCATATCACTATCAGTTCATATCACTATCAGTTCATATCACTATAACACTATCAGTTCATATCACTATAACACTATCAGTTCATATCACTATCAGTTCATATCACTATCAGTTCATATCACTATCAGTTCATATCACTATAACACTATCAGTTCATATCACTATAACACTATCAGTTCATATCACTATCAGTTCATATCACTATCAGTTCATATCACTATTTCATATCACTATCAGTTCATATCACTATCAGTTCATATCACTATCAGTTCATATCACTATAACACTATCAGTTCATATCACTATCAGTTCATATCACTATCAGTTCATATCACTATCACTATCAGTTCATATCACTATCAGTTCATATCACTATCAGTTCATATCACTATCAGTTCATATCACTATCAGTTCATATCACTATAACACTATCACTATCAGTTCATATCACTATCACTATCAGTTCATTTCACTATCAGTTCATATCACTATCACTATCAGTTCATATCACTATCAGTTCATATCACTATCACTATCAGTTCATATCACTATCAGTTCATATCACTATCAGTTCATATCACTATAACACTATCACTATCAGTTCATATCACTATAACACTATCAGTTCATATCACTATAACACTATCAGTTCATATCACTATCAGTTCATATCACTATCAGTTCATATCACTATCAGTTCATATCACTATCAGTTCATATCACTATAACACTATCAGTTCATATCACTATCAGTTCATATCACTATCAGTTCATATCACTATCACTATCAGTTCATATCACTATCAGTTCATATCACTATCAGTTCATATCACTATCAGTTCATATCACTATAACACTATCACTATCAGTTCATATCACTATCACTATCAGTTCATTTCACTATCAGTTCATATCACTATCACTATCAGTTCATATCACTATCAGTTCATATCACTATCACTATCAGTTCATATCACTATCAGTTCATATCACTATCACTATCAGTTCATATCACTATCAGTTCATATCACTATCAGTTCATATCACTATAACACTATCACTATCAGTTCATATCACTATATCACTATCACTATCAGTTCATATCACTATCACTATCAGTTCATATCACTATCAGTTCATATCACTATCAGTTCATATCACTATCAGTTCATATCACTATATCACTATCACTATCAGTTCATATCACTATATCACTATCACTATCAGTTCATATCAATATAACACTATCACTATCAGTTCATATCACTATCACTATCAGTTCATATCACTATCAGTTCATATCACTATCAGTTCATATCACTATCAGTTCATATCACTATATCACTATCACTATCAGTTCATATCACTATATCACTATCACTATCAGTTCATATCAATATATCACTATCACTATCAGTTCATATCACTATCACTATCAGTTCATATCACTATCAGTTCATATCACTATCAGTTCATATCACTATATCACTATCACTATCAGTTCATATCACTATATCACTATCACTATCAGTTCATATCAATATAACACTATCACTATCAGTTCATATCACTATCAGTTCATATCACTATCAGTTCATATCACTATAACACTATCACTATCAGTTCATATCACTATCAGTTCATATCACTATATCACTATCACTATCAGTTCATATCACTATCAGTTCATATCACTATATCACTATCACTATCAGTTCATATCAATATAACACTATCAGTATCAGTTCATATCACTATCAGTTCATATCACTATCAGTTCATATCACTATAGCACTATCACTATCAGTTCAAATCACTATCAGTTCATATCACTATATCACTATCACTATCAGTTCATATCACTATCACTATCAGTTCATATCACTATATCACTATCACTATCAGTTCATATCACTATAACACTATCACTATCAGTTCATATCACTATCAGTTCATATCACTATATCACTATCACTATCAGTTCATATCACTATCACTATCAGTTCATATCACTATCAGTTCATATCACTATATCACTATCACTATCAGTTCATATCACTATCAGTTCATATCACTATCAGTTCATATCACTATATCACTATCAGTTCATATCACTATCAGTTCATATCACTATATCACTATCAGTTCATATCACTATCACTATCAGTTCATATCACTATCAGTTCATATCACTATAGCACTATCACTATCAGTTCATATCACTATCAGTTCATATCACTATATCACTATCACTATCAGTTCATATCACTATCACTATCAGTTCATATCACTATATCACTATCACTATCAGTTCATATCACTATAACACTATCACTATCAGTTCATATCACTATCACTATCAGTTCATATCACTATATCACTATCACTATCAGTTCATATCACTATCACTATCAGTTCATATCACTATCAGTTCATATCACTATATCACTATCACTATCAGTTCATATCACTATCAGTTCATATCACTATCAGTTCATATCACTATCAGTTCATATCACTATATCACTATCAGTTCATATCACTATCAGTTCATATCACTATATCACTATCACTATCAGTTCATATCACTATCAGTTCATATCACTATCAGTTCATATCACTATCAGTTAATATCACTATAACACTATCACTATCAGTTCATATCAATATAACACTATCACTATCAGTTCATATCACTATCAGTTCATATCACTATCAGTTCATATCACTATCACTATCAGTTCATATCACTATCAGTTCATATCACTATCAGTTCATATCACTATATCACTATCACTATCAGTTCATATCACTATAACACTATCACTATCAGTTCATATCACTATCACTATCAGTTCATATCACTATCAGTTCATATCACTATCACTATCAGTTCATATCACTATAACACTATCACTATCAGTTCATTTCACTATCATTTCATATCACTATCACTATTAGTTCATATCACTATCACTATTAGTTCATATCACTATCAGTTCATATCACTATATCACTATCACTATCAGTTCATATCACTATAACACTATCACTATCAGTTCATATCACTATCAGTTCATATCACTATCAGTTCATATCACTATCAGTTCATATCACTATAACACTATCACTATCAGTTCATATCACTATAACACTATCACTATCAGTTCATATCACTATCAGTTCATATCACTATAACACTATCACTATCAGTTCATATCACTATCACTATCAGTTCATATCACTATCACTATCAGTTCATATCACTATCAGTTCATATCACTATCAGTTCATATCACTATCAGTTCATATCACTATATCACTATCACTATCAGTTCATATCACTATAACACTATCACTATCAGTTCATATCACTATCAGTTCATATCACTATAACACTATCACTATCAGTTCATATCACTATATCACTATCACTATCAGTTCATATCACTATCACTATCAGTTCATATCACTATCAGTTCATATCACTATCAGTTCATATCACTATCAGTTCATATCACTATATCACTATCACTATCAGTTCATATCACTATCAGTTCATATCACTATCAGTTCATATCACTGTAACACTATCACTATGGCAAGCCGTTTTAACTTTTATTCATTTCCAGGATATGAATACTTGATATCAACAATTCAATTTTCACTAGTTAAAATTATAATTATTGATATCAGGAATAATATTTCTACTAGTAACAATGGCAATTTTTGATATCAGGAATTACATTTTCACTAGTAACAATGCTAATTCTTGACATCAACATTTACATTTTCACTAGTTAAAATGATAATTCTTGATATCAACAATTGAATTGCAACTAGTAAAAACTATAATTCTTGATATCTGTAATTGTATTTTCACTAGTGAAATGTCACCATAGGCTAGGCAAGCCGTTTTAACTTTTATTCATTTCCAGGATATGAATACTTGATATCAACAATTACATTTTAGATATCAACAATTACATTTTTTGATATCAACAATTAAATTTTTGATATCAACAATTACATTTTTGATATCAACAATTCAATTGTTGATATCAACAATTCAATTCTTGATATCAACAATTGAATTATTGATATCAAAAATGTAATTCTTGATATCAACAATTGTATTTTCACTAGTGAAATGTCACCATAGACTGCCATTCAAAATCAATTGTTGATATCAAGAATTGATTTCTTACTAGTAGAAATATAATTTTTGATATCAATAATTACATTGTTACTAGTAAAAATGCGAATTCCTGATATCAATAATTAAATTATCACTAGTCTAAATGTCTATTCTTGATATCAATAACTGAATTGCTACTAGTAAAAATTTTCATTTTTGATATCTGAAAATGTATTTCTGATATCAATATTATTTCAGATATCTAAAATGGCTTTCTTACTAGTAACAATCACATTCATGATATCAGAAATTAACATTGTCACTAGTGAAAATTGAATTATTGATATCAAAAATGAACATTGTTACTAGTAGCAATTCAATTGTTGATATCAAGAATAGACATTTCAACTAGTGACAATTTAATTCTTGATATCAAAAATAAAGGTTTTTACTAGTAAGAATTGTATTTCTGATATGTGAAATTGGAATTTCAACTAGTAAGAAATCAATTCTTGATATCAAGAATTGATTTTGAATGGCAGCCTATGGTGACATTTCACTAGTGAAAATACAATTACAGATATCAAGAATTATAGTTTTTACTAGTTGCAATTCAATTGTTGATATCAAGAATTATCATTTTAACTAGTGAAAATGTAAATGTTGATGTCAAGAATTAGCATTGTTACTAGTGAAAATGTAATTCCTGATATCAAAAATTGCCATTGTTACTAGTAGAAATAGTATTCCTGATATCAATAATTATAATTTTAACTAGTGAACATTGAATTGTTGATATCAAGTATTCATATCCTGGAAATGAATAAAAGTTAAAACGGCTTGGCTGCCATTCAAAATCAATTCTTGATATCAAGAATTGATTTCTTACTAGTTGAAATTCCAATTTCACATATCAGAAATACAATTCTTACTAGTAAAAACCTTTATTTTTGATATCAAGAATTAAATTGTCACTAGTTGAAATGTCTATTCTTGATATCAACAATTGAATTGCTACTAGTAACAATGTTCATTTTTGATATCAATAATTCAATTTTCACTAGTGACAATGTTAATTTCTGATATCATGAATGTGATTGTTACTAGTAAGAAAGCCATTTTAGATATCTGAAATAATATTGATATCAGAAATACATTTTCAGATATCAAAAATGAAAATTTGTACTAGTAGCAATTCAGTTATTGATATCAAGAATAGACATTTAGACTAGTGATAATTTAATTATTGATATCAGGAATTCGCATTTTTACTAGTAACAATGTAATTATTGATATCAAAAATTATATTCCTACTAGTAAGAAATCAATTCTTGATATCAACAATTGATTTTGAATGGCAGTCTATGGTGACATTTCACTAGTGAAAATACAATTGTTGATATCAAGAATTACATTTTTGATATCAATAATTCAATTGTTGATATCAAGAATTGAATTGTTGATATCAAGAATTCAATTGTTGATATCAACAATTGAATTGTTGATATCAAAAATTTAATTGTTGATATCAAAAAATGTAATTGTTGATATCAAAAATGTAATTGTTGATATCAACAATTCATATCCTGGAAATGAATAAAAGTTAAAACGGCTTGCCATACTATCACTATCAGTTCATATCACTATCAGTTCATATCACTATCAGTTCATATCACTATCAGTTCATATCAGTTCATATCACTATCACTATCAGTTCATATCACTATCACTATCAGTTCATATCACTATCAGTTCATATTCACTATCAGTTCATATCACTATCAGTTCATATCACTATCAGTTCATATCACTATATCACTATCACTATCAGTTCATATCACTATATCACTATCACTATCAGTTCATATCACTATCAGTTCATCAGTTCATATCACTATCAGTTCATATCACTATATCACTATGACTATCAGTTCATATCACTATATCACTATCACTATCAGTTCATATCACTATCAGTTCATCAGTTCATATCACTATCAGTTCATATCACTATATCACTATCACTATCAGTTCATATCACTATCAGTTCATATCACTATCAGTTCATATCACTATCAGTTCATATCACTATTAGTTCATATCACTATCAGTTCATATCACTATCAGTTCATATCACTATCAGTTCATATCACTATCACTATCAGTTCATATCACTATCATCACTATCAGTTCATATCACTATCAGTTCATATCACTATCAGTTCATATCACTATCAGTTCATATCACTATCAGTTCATATCACTATATCACTATCACTATCAGTTCATATCACTATCAGTTCATATCACTATCAGTTCATATCACTATCAGTTCATATCACTATATCACTATCACTATCAGTTCATATCACTATCAGTTCATATCACTATATCACTATCACTATCAGTTAATATCATTATCAGTTAATATCACTATCAGTTCATATCACTATATCACTATCACTATCAGTTCATATCACTATCAGTTCATATCACTCAGTTCATATCACTATCAGTTCATATCACTATCAGTTCATATCACTATAACACTATCACTATCAGTTCATATCAATATAACACTATCACTATCAGTTCATATCACTATCAGTTCATATCACTATCAGTTCATATCACTATATCACTATCACTATCAGTTCATATCACTATCAGTTCATATCACTATCAGTTCATATCACTATCAGTTCATATCACTATAACACTATCACTATCAGTTCATATCAATATATCACTATCACTATCAGTTCATATCACTATCAGTTCATATCACTATCAGTTCATATCACTATCAGTTCATATCACTATATCACTATCACTATCAGTTCATATCACTATCAGTTCATATCACTATCAGTTAATATCACTATATCACTATCACTATCAGTTAATATCACTATCAGTTAATATCACTATCAGTTCATATCACTATCACTATCAGTTCATATCACTATCACTATCAGTTCATATCACTATCAGTTCATATCACTATCAGTTCATATCACTATCAGTTCATATCACTATCACTATCAGTTCATATCACTATCAGTTCATATCACTATCAGTTCATATCACTATCAGTTCATATCACTATCAGTTCATATCACTATCAGTTCATATCACTATTAGTTCATATCACTATCAGTTCATATCACTATCAGTTCATATCACTATCACTATCAGTTCATATCACTATCAGTTCATATCACTATCAGTTCATATCACTATCACTATCAGTTCATATCACTATCAGTTCATATCACTGTCACTATCAGTTCATATCACTATCAGTTCATATCACTATCAGTTCATATCACTATCAGTTCATATCACTATCAGTTCATATCACTATCAGTTCATATCACTATTAGTTCATATCACTATCAGTTCATATCACTATCCGTTCATATCACTATCACTATCAGTTCATATCACTATCAGTTCATATCACTATCAGTTCATATCACTATCACTATCAGTTCATATCACTATCAGTTCATATCACTATCACTATCAGTTCATATCACTATCAGTTCATATCACTATCAGTTCATATCACTATCAGTTCATATCACTATCAGTTCATATCAGTTCATATCACTATCAGTTCATATCACTATCACTATCAGTTCATATCACTATCAGTTCATATCACTATCACTATCAGTTCATATCACTATCAGTTCATATCAGTATCACTATCAGTTCATATCACTATCAGTTCATTTCACTATAGGTCAGTGTAATATCGCAGTCTCACAGCCAGAGAATCATAAGAGAAGAGAGTTAGATAGGAGTGACACAAAAGCCTAGAACCCTATATATATATACACTCACCGGCCACTTTATTAGGTACCCCATGCTAGTAACGGGTTGGACCACCTTTTGCCTTCAGAACTGCCTCAATTCTTCGTGGCATAGATTCAACAAGGTGCTGGAAGCATTCCTCAGGGAGTTTGGTCCATATTGACATGATGGCATCACACAGTTGCCGCAGATTTGTCGGCTGCACATCCATGATGCGAATCTCCCGTTCCACCACATCCCAAAGATGCTCTATTGGGTTGAGATCTGGTGACTGTGGAGGCCATTTTAGTACAGTGAACTCATTGTCATGTTCAAGAAACCAATTTGAAATGATTAGAGCTTTGTGACATGGTGGAAGTAGCCATCAGAGGATGGGTACATGGTGGCCATAAAGGGATGGACATGGTCAGAAACAATGCTCAGGTAGGCCGTGGCATTTAAACGATGCCCAATTGGCACTAAGGGGGCTAAAGTGTGCCAGGAAAACATCCCCCACACCATTACACCACCACCACCAGCCTGCACAGTGGTAACAAGGCATGATGGTTCCATGTTCTCATTCTGTTTACGCCAAATTCTGACTCTAACATCTGAATGTCTCAACAGAAATCGAGACTCATCAGACCAGGCAACATTTTTCCAGTCTTCAACTGTTCAATTTTGGTGAGCTCTTGCAAATTGTAGCCTCTTTTTCCTATTTGTAGTGGAGATGAGTGGTACCCGGTGGAGTCTTCTGCTGTTGTAGCCCATCCGCCTCAAGGTTGTGCGTGTTGTGGCTTCACAAATGCTTTGCTGCATACCTCGGTTGTAACGAGTGGTTATTTCAGTCACTGTTGCCCTTCTATCAGCTCGAACCAGTCTGGCCATTCTCCTCTGACCTCTGGCATCAACAAGGCATTTCCGCCCACAGAACTGCCGCTCACTGGATGTTTTTTCTTTTTCGGACCATTCTCTGTAAACCCTAGAGATGGTTGTGCGTGAAAATCCCAGTAGATTAGCAGTTTCTGAAATACTCAGACCAGCCCTTCTGGCACCAACAATCATGCCACGTTCAAAGTCACTCAAATCACCTTTCTTCCCCATACTGATGCTCGGTTTGAACTGCAGGAGATTGTCTTGACCATGTCTACATGCCTAAATGCACTGAGTTGCCGCCATGTGATTGGCTGCTTAGAAATTAAGTGTTAACGAGCAGTTGGACAGGTGTACCTAATAAAGTGGCCGGTGAGTGTATATATATATGCATACATGTATATCAGTGTTGTCAAATTGATTGATCACAGTTAACCATGTATATTATTTATATATATAGATAGATAGATAGATAGATAGATAGATAGATAGATAGACAGACAGACAGACAGACGGACGGACGGACGGATGGACGGAGATAGATAGATAGATAGATAGATAGATAGATAGATAGATAGATAGATAGATAGATAGATAGATAGATAGATAGGATGTATGTATGGATGGATAGATAGCGAGTAACAGTGCTGTGTTGTTTCTCAGGTCACTCAGAGACCAGGATCACACAAGATGAAATGTTTTTTCCGCATCAGTTTTCTTCCGAAAGACCCGGTGGATCTTCTGAGGAGAGACGCCGTCGCCTTCGATTACCTCTACGTCCAGGTGCAGTTCATCTTAAACTCAGAGAACAACACTTCATATCTTCAGTCACACTTCTTCTCCAGTAAATGTGTCTCGATTTATGAATGTTTAGATATTAGTGCTGGAGAACGAGACAGAAACACTGAGGAAGAACAGCATTATAAATGTTAAAGCAGGATCTCTATCGTTCGGTTTATGACATAATGCCGTCCAGCCATTGAGTCAAGTCATGTCAACTCGAGTCTCCTTCATCTATACAGCGCTGTAACAGTATAGAGTTTCACAGCAGCTTTACAGTGATAACAGGAGATTACAGTAACAGAGAGTGTTTAGGCTTTACAGCAGCTCTAGAATAGAGTTATTGTCCAGATAAAGTTAGTTTTGATTGATTCACTTCCGTTGCTGAGAAGAGAAGAGTGTTTCTCCTGCTGAAGTGTGTGTGTGTGTGTGTGTGTGTGTGTGTAGAGCTGTAAGGACGTGGTTCAGGAACGCTTCGGCTCCGAGCTCAAATACGACACGGCTCTTCGTCTGGCGGCTCTTCAGATGTACATCCTCACGCTCAGCACCAAGCAAACGCAGAAAGTGTCTCTCAAGTACATCGAGTGAGTTCTACACACACAGTTATGACAGCAGACAGAACCCAAACATCAGGGCTTCAAATCAACCTTTTCACTCACCGCTGAATTTGGCTACCACAGTTTAAGTTACCGGCCATTCAGAACTTCTACTAGCCAAAAAAAGGAAATTAACTATGTTACAGTTTATTTATATATATATATATTATAAAATTTAGATTTTTTTATTTTATTAACTAACATTAAGAAAGATTAATAAGTACTGATTTGTTCATTGTTAACTAATGAGAGTTTATTGTAAAGTATTACCAAAATGTTTTTTACTCGCCTTCTTAAGTTAATTTTACCTGTGCAACACAAAAAAAGATATTTAATTGAGAATATGCATTAACAGTAATTTCAAAAGTGTGTTTTATAAGTCAAACACTTACATTTTAGTCTGAAAACGGTCATATAACTCCAGGAGACTGAAGGTAGTGACGTCCAGCCTAGTAAAATTCACATCTTCATCCTTTATTCAAATATTACTATAGATTTTTTTGTTATATTGCGTAGCTGTGATTGGAGTTGAGTGTTTTATTAGTGATGATAACGCAATGAAACATGAAAAATTGTGCAACATCATTTTTGTCCAGGCAAAGAGATTATGAACATGCAAAAACAAGAGAGAACCGACCAAATATTAATAACTGATTATGTTTGCTTTTATGTTTTTTCCTGTGTATTTAGTAAAATAAAACCTTTTAGCTGTAGTTTGCCTAATAATTTAGTCAGATAACCTTAGTTTAGTGTTTGTTCTTCCCTCATATTTAACATATTTTCCTCATATTATCATGGTTTAATTAACTTGTATGGTCATTATAAACACGTTTAGTGTTTTTATGGTGTGTTTTGTTGGAGCTCGGCTTTATGAACAGCAGAAGGTCAGATCTTGTGTTTCACTGAGGGAAGACGAGACTGTGGGTCAGATCATGAGGCCGAGTAAATGAGGAGAGATGCTCATGTGTCGGTGTGAGTCGCTGTGAATAGAGAAGTGGAGATGAGAGGAGTCTGACCGGAGTGTGTGTGTGTGTGTGTGTGTGTGTCCTCAGGAAGGAATGGGGTTTGGCCCAGTTTCTGCCTCCAGCGGTTCTGTCCAGCATGAAGGAGAAGAACATCAAGAAAGCTCTCACGCACATTCTCAAAACCAACCAGAACCTGGTGCCTCCTGGGAAGAAGGTGAAGAGCTTCCACAGCTGCATGTCAGACGGGGACTGAAGTCCATATCTTGAGCTGCCGTTGAGAATTCAGATTCCTCGATGCATCTAATATAAAGAAATAGAGTCGGATTATCATGATAGCGGAGGAATTACACGATTCTCAATGCTAGTATCACTAATCCTGTATGCAAATATGCTGAATTATTTCAAGATATGGATGAACATATATATATAGACAGACCACCATATCGGCTGATATATGTTCATTTTTAATGTTATCGTTATCGGCCTGATGAGAAAATGTGTCTGATATATTGAATCTGATAAATAGTGTATTATTCCCTTCAGCTGAGACGCTTCAGATGCGCACTGTTCAACATGATGGCTTTGAAATGCTTGAAATATGATTGGAATCACTTCAAAAAAGGAAAATACAGTAAAGTGCAACACAAGTCTGTCATATCGGCTACATAACATTATAATGAGAACATCATAATTGTGTGTTTGGGACGTGGCTTTTAATGATGAGGCTTTTGTTTTTGTAATCAGGCTCTCAAAAATTATAAAAAAATTTGGATTTAGATTTATCGGCCGATATATCGGTTGTGAACGTTCAAATATAAATTATTATCGGTTATCGGTATCAGCCAAAATTGTAATATTGGTGCATCCCCATTAGATATATATACACAGGTGAAACTCGAAAAATGAGAATATGGTGCAAAAGTTCATTTATTTCAGTAATTCAACTTAAAAGGTGAAACTAATATATTATATAGACTCATTACATGCAAACTGAGATATTTCAAGCCTTTATTTGTTATAATTTTGATGATTATGGCTTACAGATATGAAAACCTTTTCACAATATTCTAATTTTGACTTTGGGGTTTTCATAAGCTGTAAGCCATAATCATCAATATTATAACAAATGAAGGCTTGAAATATCTCACTTTGCATGTAATGGCCCTCATTTATCATTCTTGAGTAGAAACAAGCGTATATGTTGGCGTTAGATTATGCTTACACTCCTCTCACCGCCTGATTTATGAAGCTGTGCGTACCTTTGAAATCCAGGTGTACGCAATACCTGCCCTTGATAAATCCCGCGGCTGAAAACGATCGTCATTAGAATAGCACGCCCCTATATATTCAAGTCTCCGCTTCCCCCACGCCCTCATTTTACGCCATGGACACACGGAAGACGGCACAGAAGAGAAACTTCTCCGACGTGGAGCCGAAATGACCTATCACAATGCATTATTTTACAGCACGTCTTTTGAATTAGCATCTTACAGTCTATGATTAGCATTAAATTTCGAATCACATCACATGTATTGGGGTGTACAATAGTGATGATGATGATGTGATGTGGAGTACCATTCATTCACATTAATAATTGCATGACAATTTGTAATATTGTTCTTATTATTACCATTTACCATTATCATTTATGATTTTTATTATTAATGACGCTTATTGTTATTTAGAAGAAGAATGGCGTTATTATTATTATTAGTTAAAAGAAGAAGAATGTAATTTTTATTATTTTGTCAGTCTGAATAATTTTTTGGTCATTGAAAGTCTTTCGTTACCGAACCCAGGCGTGCGCACCTGCCGGGGATAACCCTGAAACGTCAGGGTAAAGCGCACAGGCTCGCAACTGAAGGAATACGCTTACAAATCAAATGCTTTGGTAAAGTCACACAAATTAAAAATTGAAGTCCATGTTGCACAAAAATAAACACTGAAGTTCATAATTACTATGTTGTTGTTTATTTTTACTGTGGGTCATAATATATCATATCTTTTAGTTTGTCAGTGCATTTTGTGGTGTTAGGAATTGTTTTTCTGCGCATTTCCGCACTAACTCAAAACGTGTGTACATGTACACCACCTCCTGAGCTGGCGTAGGATTTGAGCGTGCCGTACGCCACCGTCCATATTGATAAATCTCAAAGTCACCGTGGTTTTGGGTGTACGCCAGGTGTACGCTGGAAATTTGGTGTACGCACTTTTGATAAATGAGGGCCAATGAGTCTATATAATATATTAGTTTCACCTTTTAAGTTAAATTACTGAAAAAAATGAACTTTTGCACCATATTCTAATTTTTCCAGTTTCACCTGTATGTCATGCATGGTTATCGGTGAAAAAACAATCAGATATAATGTACTGTTTCATATTTTGTTGTAGTGTCTTGTACTTCATGTTACATTGCTTGGTTTAGTGTTCATGTCTGGATCGACTGATAATGCTCGAGTGAGTTGAGTCTGGCTGGTAAATCTGGTAAACGTGTTCCCGAGAGGCACATACTCAGAAAGAAGAACGAAGAGAACTCTATTTCTGTAATGAACTGTCAGTTCCCTAAACGTGTGTGTCTGTGTTGAAGCTGACGGCGTTGCAGGCGAAGGTCCACTACCTGAAGTACCTGAGCGATCTGCGGCTGTACGGAGGACGAGTGTTCAAATCCACGCTGGTCGTAAGTTCACACACTCGCACTCCTCTCTGAGCCGGCGTGACATCAGCGCAGATTCAGGACAATCACCATAACATCATAAACTATACTTTCATTTATATGCAACTTAGTTTTTTTAGTTTTGCTTTTATTATCTTGTAACATGTACATATATTAATTTAGCAGATGTTTTATTCAAAGCGATTCATCTTAACTTTCTTAAATTTACAACTTTTCTTAAAAAATTTTTGTTATCGTTATCGGCCCAAAAAGAAAATGTGTCTGATATATTAAAGCCGATAAATAATGTATTATTCCCTTCAGCTTAGACTCTTCAGATGCGCTCTGTTCAACATGATGGCTTTGAAATGCTTGAAATTATTGGAATCACTTCAAAAAAGGAAAATACAGTAAAGTGCTCAAGTCCTTCTGTCATATCGGTTACATAAAATTATAATGAGAACATCATAATTGTGTGTTTGGGACGTGGCTTTTAATGATGAGGCTTTTGTTTTTGTAATCAGGCTCTCAAAAATTATATATAAATTTGGATTTAGATTTATCGGCCAATATATCGGTTATCGGCTTTCAAATATAAATAATTATCGGTTATCGGTATCGGCCAAAATAAATAAAAACAAACATTTTTTGTAGAATTGTTTACTTCACCGGAATGGTGAAACTTGGTCAAGGTTTTGGCACTTGCTGTGTGAACATAAAAAAATCATGGACATGATTAGAAAAGGTTAAAAGAATGGGTAAAAACCTCAAACCGCAGCCAAACAACATCTCACTGAACGCTCATTTTATGAGATATCAACTTAAATTTGGAAAACAACTTGTTTATATTTATGGATTTGAGTTTCTTGCAGTTTTTGAGTTAAACGTGTTTTTGAAAATATATATTTCATATAAAAATATAAAATAGTTTTTTTCTCTGCATTTCTCATAACAATAAACGTAAAATTCTGTTGTTTTTTTTTCACTTCAGCAATAATCTGCCACGTGTTTTCTTTAAATAGAGAGCAAACTTCAGTCTGTGCTCCAAAGCTTTCAAGATTTAAGATATATTTAAGTTGTAAATTACATTTTCTATGGTCAAAAAGTGAATAAATGGATTATAAATACAGCGTAAATATAATTTAATACCATAAAATTCGGTAAAAATACAAAATATTAAAAATATTTAAATAAATAAAAAACATTATCAAACTAAAATATAGTAAAAATTTGGTCATTTTTGCCCAACATGCGAAGAGGACAGAGGCAATAAACATGTAAATCCATAGAGCAAGTGTTACCTAAATATGTATTGCGTACAGTACACACTTCCCTCTGTTATAACCTATTTCCCTCATTAGAAACGCATTTCTGAAAATGTCCTGCGATCTGACGCGGATGTTCATGTTTCTCTGTGATATGCGTGTTGTGAAAACACATGTATGTGAGCGGTGTAAATGTAATGTTTTGATGAATCAGACAGCGGTGTGATCAGTCAAACGCATTGGTGTAAACAGGCCGTGTGTGTGACCCGACAGCAAGGAGAGAAACACACGGAGGTGACGCTGCTCGTGGGCCCGAGGTACGGCATCAGTCATGTGATCAACACCAAGACCAATCTGGTGGCTCTGCTGGCCGACTTCAGCCACGTCAACCGCATCGAGATGTTCACCGAGGACGAGCGGAACGTGCGCGTCGAGCTCCACGTCTTGGATGTTAAGGTGCGTCGGATCAAACCCAGAGCTGCATATTTTGCAATGACATTCAGAGATTTTGTGAGTATAACACACGTTTTTTTGTTATAGAAATCCACGTGAATTACAAGAGTTAAAAATGTTACAAACAATAACCCTTTAATCTAATTCTAATAATGAAAACAGGAATTAATAATCCATAGTTCTCGAAATTTCATGCTTCGTTTTATAAAACAAATAAGTAGTCAATATATGAAGAGTTTGGTTCCAAACCGCGACAAACGCCAGTCTCCCTTCTCTGCAGAATGCGATATATCCGCTCTCAACCAATCACAACGCACCATTCCACTCTCAACCAATCACAACGCACCATTCCACGCAATGTAAACAGTAACGGCAGCGCCTTAAATACACCCGGCTTCCTAGTTTTTCTTATCTATTTTGTACTTTTCGATCAACAAACAAACAAAAAAATGAATAATTTTGACGGCATTGATGAACCTGTGGTTGTTTCTGCGGTGGGTGAGAAACGTAAGGCATCGAAATCGAATCATTTACGTGAGGAGATTAAGAAGATGAGGCACTCGGGAGGAGGACAAATGTTTTCAATCTTCTTTACAGTTCTTAATAAAAATGTTATACTAATAAACTTACGTTGTTGTGTATTTTCAACAGTTTCAATATGAAAAAAAAAACTTTTATATTGATTTAAAAAACAAAAAAAAGGATTTATTGCATTTTGGGGGGAAAAAAATCCGTTTTTATAATAAATCTTTGAAAATCAAAACCTGGATTTAATTATTTTTTTTTGTTATTATGACCTACAAATGCTATGTGAAAGTTTGAAACAGAAAATAGTGGTTTTCATCTTTCCACTTTCTTGGTAAAGAAAACACATTTTTACTCAAAATAATCAAAATGGATTTATTGGGTTTTGGAACCAAACTCTTCATATACTGTATATAATATAAAATATGGTAACACTTCACAATAATGCTGTTCTTCCTCAGTGTTTCTCTCTCGTTTTCCAGCACTAATATCTAATCATTCTTAAATCAAGACACATTTACTGGAGAAGAACAATGACTGAAGATATTATGTGTTGTTTTCTGAAAAAAAATATGTGCCAGTGGGGTCATAAAAATTAAAAATAATTTCCCCTTTGAATTAAGATTATTTTCTGACTTCATTGGCAGATATTTGTTCTTGTTTTAAACTCAAACTTTTGATACATTTTTCAGAAATCAAGACTTAATATCTTCAGTCATTTCCCTTCTCCAGTAAATGTGTCATGATTTAAGAATGTTTAGGTATTTGCATATATTAACATAATTTTATGCAGTGATAAAATAAGGTTTCATTTGATAAATACATTAGTTAACATGAACTAACAAGCATGTATTAATCTTTTCTAATGTTAATCTCAAAATCTACTAATCACTTTTTAAGATCAGTTGGCATTAGTTAATGGACCGAACATTTTTATTACTAACATTAACAAAGGTTAATAAATACTGTAAAAATGTATTGCTTATTCATGTTCGGTAATGCATTAACAAATGAGTCCTTATTGTAAGGTGTCATCTAAAATAAAAACGCAATATGTTGTTTGCTACATTGCTTTGCAAGCATGAACTAAAATCTATATTACTTGGCGGATTATTTTGATATTTAATATTAATAAATTAAACGCATTTATTAAACAACACATTTTTCTGTTTCCACTGTTATTAATGATGGTTTTAGGACACCTCTTACCTGTAGTAACATCTCTTAAACTGCACAGCCTCCCATCGCTTACTGGTTTATGTTCTGATTGTTAAATCCTTTGTTTCTGAAGCCCATCACACTTATAATGGAGTCGAGTGATGCGATGAACCTGGCGTGTCTGACGGCCGGCTACTACAGACTGCTGGTCGATTCACGGAGGTCCATCTTCAACATGGCGAACAACAGTACCGCTGCGGGTAAGAGCTCTCAGTCTACATATATAACGGTTCAGGAGTCCGTTTACAATAATGCTTATCATCATTTAAGGCAGTGGTTCTCAACTTCATCAGCAAACGTACAAGTGTGACTTACTGGAATGTAGGGAAACGTTTTTTTCATAGTTCAAACAAAGAATTATGTTATTTATAATATGTTACAGGTGAAACTCGAAAAATGAAAATATCGTGCAAAAGTTCATTTATTTCAGTAATTCAACTTAAAAGGTGAAACTAATATATTATATAGACTCATTACATGCAAAGTGAGATATTTCAAGCCTTTATTTGTTATAATTGTGAAGATTATGGCTTACAGCTTATGAAAACCCCAAATTCAAGCCATATGTAAGCCATAATCATCAAAATTATAACAAATAAAGGCTTGAAATATCTCACTTTGCATGTAATGAGTCTATATAATATATTAGTTTCAGCTTTTAAGTTGAATTACTGAAATAAATGAACTTTTGCACCATATTCTCATTTTTCGAGTTTCACCTGTATGTTAATTATACATACATAATGAAAAATAAAATATAATGAACTATCAAGAAATGTATGAATACAGTAGGAAAAAAAATAGTGAATGTAGAATATAAGAATTGAGCAAAATTTTATATGATATAAAAAAATCTAACTTCATTAAAATGCTAAAAACACATTAAAATCAAGATATTTTTTCCAACTGCAACTGATTTACAAAATCAATCATGATTAAGTAATTTGATGTACGTTATAAAAACCTCCAGTTTCTTTTAATAAAATACTTTCAAAACAAGCAGCTTTGTCATAATTACAGCAGAAATACTTGACTAAATATCAAATATCACTGCAAAAAATAATGTCCTTCCTCAGTGTTTCTGTCTCGTTTTCCAGCACAAATATCTAAAAACTCTTAAATCATGATACATTTACTGGGGAAGCAAAATAACTGAAGATTTTTATCAAAAAATGGTCAAAATTAAGTGAGTTTGTGCTTAAAACAAGGACAAATATTTGCCAATGTAGTCATAAAAATAAACTTAATTCAAAAAGAAAACAAGATTGACTCCATTGGCCGATCGTTCTCGTTTTAAGCACAAACTTTTTTGAAACTTTTGCAAAGTTACTTGTAGTTAGTAGAATGTTTAAAGTGGTTCATCGAAATATAGTGTTACCAAATGTTGAGATATGTACTGGAAAACAAGACAAAAGTACTGAGGAAGAACATCATCTTTTGCAGTGATAATAGGGCCTAATATATTGGACAATAGGGGTCCTTTTCCAGTCAAAACGGTTGAGAACCACTGATTTAAGCTGCTTAAATCTGATACTTCACTAAAACGTTGACGTTGGCATCTTCTTTTACGTTTGTTTGTCTGTCTGTCTAAGGACATGACTCAAGGATCAAGCACAACTACCAGGCAATCGACTGGAATTACGTTCCCTGTGGTGAATACGATGACCCCCACCCCGAATACCCCGTCTGTGGGCGAAGAGAGTGTGATATTGCCCCCACCGTCTCTGAAATCCACCAGTCGCATCGCATGCACATGGAGGAGAAGGCGGAGAGGGCGAGCCGAGGAAGCCACATGCATCCACAGCCCTACTTCAGTGTCCCCAAAGGCAAACCTCAAGAATCGCCCAGAAGCGCCAAGGTGTCCTTCATATTTGGCGAGCCACCGCTGGAGTGCGTGAACCCGCAGAACTTGGGATACCAAAGACTGATGGAGGACATCCCAGAAGTGCTGGAGGAACACCGGTACATGTACGCGCAGCAGAAAGACTACAAGCCTCTGGAGGCATCGATGGAGGTCGACGGCTTCCAGTACGGCTCCCACATGGTCTACGGAGACGCCAAGATCTTCGGTACAACGGAAGGCATCGAGGAGCCTCTGCTGCGCGACATCTGCTACGCCGAGACTACGGATGACGCCGAAGACGAGGACGACATCAGCTGCGAGGAGGACATGATGATGATGATGATGATGGGGGAGATGAAGGACAAAGCTCACTCTCTCCTGTCGCTCTCGGAGTCCAGCGACGACATAATCGACCTCACCTCGCTCCCTCCGCCTCCTGAAGGGGGCGACGAGGAGGACAACGACGACCTGCTGCAGTCGCTGAACTTGGCGATCGCCGCTCCGCCGCCCGGCTTCAGGGACAGCTCGGACGAAGACGACCACCAAGACCGTAAAAGCGTGGCTTTGCTAAAAAATGACATCCCCGTGTCGCTGATCGACTCGGTGCCAACGGTGGCAGGCGGGAGCGAGGAGGTGTTCAACGACGCTGTCGTCACCACACTACAAGCACTCGAGGCCTTGGCCGCCTCTGAGGAACACTCTCACCCACAATCGGACAATAGTTCAGGTTCTTACACTATAGTAACGTTTATTCATTGACGTTGTAGGACCTTCCAGCCATTCTTTTCTTTTGGTTTTGTTTCTCCATTGTCTTCGATGCAAGCCCCGTGTATTGTGTGCATTTGTTTTGTTTGCTATGTACATGTGATCTCATTATAATTTGTGGTTCATTTTTGTTCATGTATTTCATTATTTATGCTGCATTTCATAGCCTGCAACGTTTTGTACAAATAAACTATTTTAAAGTATACAGTGCGTGTGGTGTGATGGCTAAAATGTTTGTCTCTTTGTGACACACAGGTGTAGAAATATCTCGGTCCTTTAGCCCCGAGTCCTCTTCTGATTCTGGGAATGAGACAAATTCCTCCGAAATGACGGAGAGCTCAGAGCTGGCCGCGGCTCAGAAACTCTCCGAAAACTCTCTGAAAATGTTGGTAGCCACTGCGGAAGGCTACCAAACTCTAGCCGAAGAGGAGACCGAGTTTCGATTGGCGCCGTGTAGCATCCGATCGTCCCTAGATGATCCCCAGTCCTCCGCGGTCGCCACTCTTCGCTCGGATCACTTCGAGATGGAACCGGAAACGATGGAAACCAAGTCGTTGACGGACTACTTCAACAAAATGCACAGGGATGTGATGATGGGAATGCCGAAGATCGAGGAGCAAGATGGTGGGGGGAAATCGAGCGCTGATGCAGAAGCCCGTCAGATGAATATCGCAGAATCAGAAGATCTTGTCGGGATGTACAACAACTTCAATGGACGAGATTCCCAGCGTTCGAGTCCCTTTGACAGGGAGAGGATGTCTTATGCATTTCACGAAAGCAATCAAAGATTGCATATGCTTCTGAATAATAAATCCGAAGAGCACATTTACTCCGAAGTGGCTGGCGATAGCGGTCCATTGCACGCAGACAGGGTAACGCAAAAAGCCACTTTGGAGGACTCAACAGACTTGAACACAAGTTCCCCCGCCAAAGAACAATATCTGATCGAGCGATCCCGGAACGAACCCCAACCGAGCAAGCCGGCTTCCTCCGAACAAGAAGTGACGCGGTTGTACGAGTACCACTTGTCCAAAAGGATGTCGTCTTTACAGAGCGAGGGGAATCATTCCCTGCAGAGTTCCCAGTGTTCGTCCATCGACGCCGGCTGCAGTACGGGGAGCAGTACGCCGATGGACTCTCCTCTGTGCACGGTAGATAGCGTCCATCTGCACGCCGAGTCCTCTCTGAAAGGTCAGAGCGTAGATGGAACGTTTTTGCGGAAACACCACGGACAAGCTGGCTCTGAGTCGGGCCGGGAGGGATGCCAAAGGTTGCCCAAGATCAGGGAAACTACAGGTACTTGCATTTACATTCAGAGTTATGCATTTGGCAGAAGCGAGTTACGTTTCGTTCAAGGTACACATTTTATCAATTCTTGTTTTTCCTGGGAATCGAACCCATGATTATTGGTGTTGCTAGCGCTCGTTTGTGGTTAACTAGTTGACATTTAACTAACCTAACGACAAAATTATCTTTCTGTTCAACTATGTAGAAACTGCAACCATGCAGAATTGCATTGTTGGTCAGCGACTGAATCATGAGTTCTTAACTTATATTTAATAATATTGCAATTGATCACAATACTCACAGTTCGGATTAGCAAAAAAAATACGATACCTGAGCAAAAACTTCTAGCCTAACTAATAAAGTTCAAACATTATAAAAGACAAGTTCTCTTTAATGATGTAGTGAACAGTCAGTAATAAAATAAGAACAAATACGTAAATTACAAGCATAGATGAATACTAAAAGTAGTATTCAGGTACATAAATGTAATAATTTGGTCTAAATGTAAAACAACACTATTGTGTTCACTGTCGAAATTAAATAAGGATTAATTGTTTTATTTTGTTGTTTTATTAACATTAATGACAGAGACAGCATCAGGAATATTAGGCTGCTGTCACTTTAAGACTGACAGCACGGACCGAATATACTGACACACATTCGGTTTCTTTCTCAACTGTTAAACTGGGAGAATACTTGTTGAAACTGGTATTTTGACATAATTGTGTGTGTATGAGTCTGTTCAAAAGCAAGGAAACGCGAAAGAGGGATCAATTCGTTGTCCGCACGCTACTTGAAGCGCGCCCCTCTCTCCACCTCAGCTGGTGAGCACAGGTTTAGGGTTTTTGTAACCCTCATCTTGATTTAAACTGAAGCTAACCTGATTACTAATTTTCCCATAGTGTTGGGGAAACGTCCTTTTAAACTGTAGCTTCTCAAGCTGTAAGCTACTCGTACATTGCCTATAAAAAGTATTCACGCCCTTTGGCCATCTCTTTTTTCTATAACATGGAATCACAGGGATTTATTTGATCAACTGAAAAATATTAATTCATGTCAAAATGAAACCTGATTTCAATGTTAAAAAAAGAAATTAAACTTTAATTTGCATAAGTATTCACCCCCCGGCAGCTGTCAGTCAGGATGCATTAAGATCATGCAACAATAAGGTCTGGATTCTTGAATACTCAAGTTGTTGTTTTCAAGTCATTACTGTGTCCGTGCTTTATGCTTGGGGTCATCGTCTTGCAGGAAAACTCATTTTCTCTAGGTTCACCTTGCTGACATTAGGTATTGCTCCATGATTTGCCTGTATATTGCTGCATTCATTTGATCCTCTACTTTCATAAGCCTTTCAGAGGAGATCCACTCAGCATGATTCACAGCAGAGATGCTGTATTCCTGATGTTATGCTGTATTTGGCTTATGCTAAACTTGTGTTTATTCTGATAGTTTAGTCTTCTGACTAGGAGTGTGTGATTATCGTCTACTATAATATGGTGATTGTTCTGTTAACGATGTGTGATCTGACATTTTCGAGTATGTCCCTCACTTTACAAAAACACACCTAGAGCGCACACGCATACACTACGTGATGTAGTAGGTCAGACTAGTGCGCTTGTGCATTTCACTGCATGGTTTACTCTGTTAAAATGCATTTATAATGCCCTCAATTTTCCAGATAAGGGGGCAAAAATACCTCTGTATGTCTTTTATATTTATATAATTTAATATAGTGAATCAATATCATACGTAGAGTGTCGATTTTTTACTCTAAATATCAGCATGATTACAAATATGATATTGATTTACTACAACAGTTCAATAAACAAAGAAGTTACTTACATTTTTGACACAGTATTGCCAATTTTTGCTCTATTTCACCAATATAAATAGTTCCAGTCAAACACACAGGACTGTTTTGCGTCTCTGAGCGACACACGGCGGTGTTTCGTTACTGATCGAATGAATCGGTTGAATGAATGATTCAATGACTCACTCATTAAGAGTCAAATGCATTTCTGAATAAATCAGCCGTTTGTTTGAACGAATCGGTTGAATGAATGATTCAATGACTCACTCATTAAGAGTCAAACGCATTTCTGAATGAATCAGCCGTTTGTTTGAACGAATCGGTTGAATGAATGATTCAATGACTCACTCATTTACAGTGACTTGCTGCCACCTACTGGCGGTTTTAATTTCACATTTAAAGTCTCTTTTCATTTTTAAAATCATTATGAATATCAATATTCAACATTTTATGTTTAAAACAAAAAAATGTCCACGATATCCCTCTGAGCTGCATTAAATAGTCTGTGTGAATGCATCTAAATGGCACAGCTTCTGTGTTTCCTCTGCACTGGAAAGATTAATTTGGTTTAAACAGATTTAATTTTAATGGTAACAGCCCTATTATTCTAACTATATTTTATTAAATGTAAGAATTTGTCACTAAAGATGATGCATACATTTAATTAGGTTTTTAAAAATAGGTTTAAAATTGCCCATTAAAGATAAAAATCAATTTAAACGTACCCGGAAAATATCGAGATATTCTTTTTATGTCAATATTGCACAAGGCTACGCCTGGCAAACTGTAACCGAAATATTGCATGAAATATTGCAGTGTTTTATCTTCTCAGTTGTCATTGCTGTCTTGGTGTCTTCCTCCTCGCACGATGACGCGCCGTCTGAGGACGTCCTGCTCCCGTGCATTTACTGCTGTGTCATATTTTCTATTTCATAATCACTGATTTAACTGCTCCTCCAAGGGAAGCTCAATGACATGGAAGTCCTGCGTGTGTGTTCGATCACTCGTGGCTCTCTCCCGCGTCCAGAGCGCTGCTGACTCACTGATGCTGCAATCAATCTGACAGTCCTTGACTACACAAAAGCAATTTGGCTAGTTACGTGACTTGCAACCAAAGCACTTTTTTGATTTTGGAGTGTCATATTAAAGGAGGTGAATTCTATGGAAGCTTGTTTCCGCCACAGAATGAAAAATAAAAAAGGTAATTGCGACTTTTTATCTCGCAATTCTGACTTTTTTTCTCACAATTGCGAGATATAAAGTCAGAATTGCGTGATATAAAATCGCAATTGCGTGTTATAAAGTCAGAATTGCGTGATATAAAATCGCAATTGCGTGTTATAAAGTCAGAATTGCGAGATATAAAGTCAGAATTGATTGATATAAAATCGCAATTGCGTGTTATAAAGTCAGAATTGCGTGATATTAAGTCGAAATTGCGTGTTGTAAAGTCAGAATTGTGAGATATAAACTATTCTTAAATATAGTCTTTTCCCCCCTTAGAATTGGCCTGATAACTCGCAATTGCGAGTTTATATCTCACAATTCTGAGAAAAGATGTCAGAATTTTGAGATGTAAACTCGTAATTATGTGTTATAAAGTCAGAATTATGAGAAGTAAACTCGCAATGGTGAGAAAAAAAGTCAGAATTGTGAGATAAAAAGTCGCAATTCTGTATTTTTTCTCTCGCAATTGCGACTTTATTTCTCATAATTGCGACTTTATATCTCGCAATTGCGACTTTATTTCTCAGAATTGCGACTTTATATTTCGCAATTGCGACTTTATTTCTCAGAATTGCGACTTTATATCTCATAATTGCGACTTTATTTGTCAGAATTGCGACTTTATATCTCGCAATTGCGACTTTATTTCTCACAATTGCGACTTTATATCTCGCAATTGCGACTTTATTTCTCAGAATTGCGACTTTATATCTCGCAATTGCGACTTTATTTGTCAGAATTGCGACTTTATATCTCATAATTGCGACTTTATTTGTCAGAATTGCGACTTTATATCTCGCAATTGCGACTTTATTTCTCAGAATTGCGACTTTATATCTCGCAATTGCGACTTTCTTTCTCAGAATTGCGACTTTATATCTCGCAATTGTGACTTTATTTCTCACAATTGCGAGTTTATATCTCGCAATTGCGACTTTATTTCTCACAATTGCGACTTTATATCTCGCAATTGCGACTTTATATCTCGCAATTGCGACTTTATTTCTCAGAATTGCGACTTTATATCTCGCAATTGCGACTTTATTTTGTCAGAATTATGAGAAGTAAACTTGCAATTGTGAGAAAAAAGTCAGAATTGTGAGATAAAAAGTCGCAATTCTGTCTTTTTTTTCTCGCAATTGCGACTTTATTTCTCATAATTGCGACTTTATATCTCGCAATTGCGACTTTATTTCTCAGAATTGCAACTTTATATTTCGCAATTGCGACTTTATTTGTCAGAATTGCGACTTTATATCTCGCAATTGCAACTTTATTTGTCAGAATTGCGACTTTATATCTCATAATTGCGACTTTATTTGTCAGAATTGCGAATTTATATCTCGCAATTGCGACTTTATTTCTCACAATTGCGACTTTATATCTCGCAATTGCGACTTTATTTGTCAGAATTGCGACTTTATTTGTCAGAATTGCGACTTTATATCTCATAATTGCGACTTTATTTGTCAGAATTGCGACTTTAAATCTCGCAATTGCGACTTTATTTCTCACAATTGCGACTTTATATCTCGCAATTGCGACTTTATTTCTCAGAATTGCGACTTTATATCTCATAATTGCGACTTTATTTGTCAGAATTGCGACTTTCTATCTCGCAATTGCGACTTTATTTCTCAGAATTGCGACTTTATATCTCGCAATTGTGAGCTGAATTTTTTTTATTCAGTGGCGGAAACAAGCTTCCATAGAATTCCTATGACAGATATATTAAATTGATATTTAATATTTATTTAAAGGTGAAAATATTAACGGTTTGGAGTCAATGTTGAGCTGTAATTATGCTAAAACAGAATTCTATACTGTACGTTCTATATTGTAATGCAGAAATGACACGCTTCACCTTCACCTGCTGTTTTGCATATTTTCAGTCTTAATTAGAACTTCCTGATTTGGAGCATTAAGGCTTGGGTAGAGCGTTTCTCCAGTGTGGCTCGCGGGCTTATCACTGACGTCTTTACCGTATCACGCCGAATCAGGATAAGCAGGAGATTCAGAAGCATGAAATTACGAGACATAATACTAATCCATCCCTCTCTTTTCTTCCCTCCCCAGTCTAGCATGCTGCAGATGGAGATACAGCCGAAGAATCTTCTACTCTCACGAATCGTCCATGTTCATCCACAGCACAGGTTCCTATGTGCCCCAGAGGAGATCGCAGGTCTCGAACGACCCGCTCTGGCAGAAAGGGAATCTTTACATGACAACTATTGGCTCAGGGAGCATTGACACTTTTTATGGAAACTGCAACAGGGATATTATAGATGGTCATAATCATCCAGTCAACCCTGGACGGAGCCGATAACAACCCTGCCGTTCTTAAAGTCAACATGAAACTCATTTTACATCCATAACGTGATATTTTGTTGTGTTTTATTGGATTGTGAAGACTGGGCATGGATGAAGTCTGGTGGCTGGAGGGAATGAGCTGAAAAAGAAAAGGGATTTATTGTTAGCGCTGCAGTGATGCCATATTTTTGTAAGTTTGCATCAGTTCCCTGGACAAAAAAACACTTTTCCATTGGCTTTTGGATTTCTGCAGACCAAAAAAGTGTATGATTCTTACACGTTTTGTTAATCTTGATAATCTTCATTAACTAACACAACTTTTGAAGCCTAAATACAATCGGCACAAGAGCTAAACGTAGGCTATAAACGAACTACACCGCCGTCGCATGACTTTATTATCCTTCACCGGCTATTTCAGACTTTTCCCTGAAAGTTCGAGTTAGAATAGTTTGCAAGAGCGCGATTATAAACTGTGGAAGCGACTAGTGTGTAGATGAGTTTCAAGGCAAGTAAAAGCTTAAAAAAATCACAAGAGTGTGTTACTAATGTCATTTAATATAGTGAATCAATATCACACATAGAGTGTCATTTTTTTTTTCTTCAAATATCAGCATGATTAGAAATGTGATATTGATTTCCTACAACAGTTCAATAAACAATAAACAAAAATAAACATTTTAGACACAGTATTGCCAATTTTTGCTCTATTTCACCAATATAAATAGCTCCAGTCAAACACACAGGACTGTTTTGCGTCTCTGAGCGACACACGGCGGTGTTTCGTTACTGATCCAATGAATCGGTTGAATGAATGATTCAATGACTCACTCATTAAGAGTCAAACGCATTTCTGAATGAATCAGCCGTTTGTTTGAACGAATCGGTTGAATGAATGATTCAATGACTCACTCATTAACAGAGACTTGCTGCCACCTACTGGCGGTTTCAATTTCACATTTAAAGTCTCTTTTCATTTTTAAAATCATTATGAATATCAATATTCCACATTTTGTGTTTAAAACATCAAAAGATGTCCACGCCGTTCCTCTGAGCTGCATTAAACACACATTTCCCTGAAAGTTCGAGTTAGAATAGTTTTCAAGAGCGCGATTATAAACTGTGAAAGCGACTAGTGAGTAGATGAGTTTCAAGGCAAGTTAAAGCTTTAAAAAATCACAAGAGTGTGTTACTAGCCTAGTTTATGTCAGAATAAAATATGAAAATATTTAATTTCAGCCTTTTAATCCCTGACTTTAGCGCGATGGTACCGGAAAGGCTAAAACGCAACTCGTTTCTGGGTTTATGCTACAAAAACACGTCATCCCTGCAGCAAATGTGCACTAAGAAGTGACTAGGGTAATGTTGATTTCTTGTTGACTTTAATCTTCTGAAGTGTGAGTGAATGACATGCGGTTGGACGTTACTGAAGTCAGCACAGAAACTTCTTCTCCTTTCCATTTATATGTCGGACGACTCTTGCACTGCTCACTTATACGTCTATTTCAGCCACAGGTGTGTGCAAATTCTCAAGACTGCATGTGCAGAGTTTATGCTCTGATTTAGATTTTTTAAGCTGCGAAAGGACATTTCAAAGTGCTAGTTGGAGCTGAAGCGATTCAGGAAGTCATTTTATATTCTTTGGCGTCGAGGCTTTGGGAAGTTATTTTGCTGACCAAAGCAAAACTACATTTGCTGTTTTAGCAATGGCCAAATGTCAAGAGTCACTGCTTTTCATTTAGCCATCAAGATTATCTGGCCATTGCAATCCACTGTGATGACAGTGCTTGTGTATATTTTGTGTAATATGTAAAATGAAAAGGAAGTATTCTACAATACATAGAATTTTTAAAAGACGATATATATATATATATATAATATACAACACACACCTGATAGATGCATCCTTTTTTGTTCCATGTGTTTATTTTAGTCGTCATAACTTTCAAAAATCAGACATTTTTGCCACTATAAATATTGTAATTATGTTCGCAACTTGCACTGTTTAATTTGCTGTTTGGCTAATGCAAACATTTACTGAAATAGTTTAAAGTCAACATGAAGCGTCATTGCAGTGCAACAGGAGTGTGTAGGACAGTCAGGAATGGGTTGGATGATAAATCGTATTATTTATTCGGAATAATGAGCACGGATGAATCAAGACCGGGAATGTTAATAAGCTCCATTTTGAATTCAAGTTGACTTTAAATGTTAAGCGTAATGTATTTTCTTTGAATCATCTTCATTAAATATTTCAGCTTGGACACTGATCTCGTACTGTCTTTCTTTCTTTTTCTAACGAGTCGGATTTTTCCTGTCGTGTCATTGATAAATATCGTGCACATTATATTCTTCCTTCTCCTATTGTTCTTCCTCTCCTTGTGTGCAGAAGAAGCAACTGTTCTGTTGGACGAAGAATATTTTTGATCATTTCATAATTGGAGTGCTTGGCTTTTTGTGGTTTTGCTTTCATTTATGAAGAAACCGGAGCAGAACTCGCACAAACCCCTGACCTTGTTTTGCTTAATCTCTAGTACAGAAACTCGTCCCTTGAGAGAACGGATGAAAGTAATGTTGTTCCTCTTTATGCTGGTGTTTCAGTGACTATATTGTTGAAATGAAATATAATTTATACAATAACAACACTTCAGGATAACAGTGCGGAGAGTTTAGTTGAGTTATATCATCACTTGCAGAATCAAAACAAAAGAGATTCAGAACAATCTTGTTATAAGATAAAGGGGAAGTTATGTTTAAATATATTCACTCTCACTTTTGTTTGTACTTTTTGTGGTCTATATCATTGGTTAGTAACACCTGTTCTGCTAGTAACACAGGCTCTGTACAACTCGACAAGCCAGATAAAGTACAGAACAACCAGCTTCGCCTTCAAAGAGTTCCAGGTCTGATGAAGATGGTGAGTTATTGAATATTCGCTTATCAGTTCATTTCATATAATGATTATGTGTCAAAACAAAGATGCTCTGAGGTAGTTACTGCTACTGCTTTAAAAAAAAAACTATTATTGTGAGGTCCAAAAAGAGAAAAAACAGTATGGTACATTTAAATACATAGGAAAAATGGAAACAAAATAACAATGGATAAACTAAAAGGATGCAAATTGGTTGCAAAAGGATGTGATGACGTCAATATAAAGTAATCATATTCTCAAGTGGTCTAAGACAGGCTTCCATATTTTGCAAGTGCAATGTTTGTCTTATTGTGCAACTTGTATGTTCATGAAAAATAGTGTTGTATATTTGGTTATATTCATATAGAAATATACCTAAAATATATAACTTATTAAATAATAATATATATTTACATTTTGTGAACTGATTTTTTTTTGGGGGTGGGGGGGGGGGGGGGGGGGGTAGGTAGGCTATTTGTAAATTAAACTTAAATTAGCACCATAACTGTTTTCAACACTGATAATAATCATAAATGTGTCTTGAGCATCAGATCCTTCTGAAGGATCATGTGACACTGAAGACTGGAGTAATGATGCTGAAAATTCAGCTTTGATCACAGGAATAAATTACACTTTACTGTATATTCACATAGAGAACAGATGATTTACACTGGAGTAATATTACACTGTTTTACTGTATTTTTGATCCAATAAATGCAGCCTTGATGAGCAGAAGAGACTCTTTTAGAAACAATAAAATCTTAAACGGTTGTGTATGTTTTTCTTAGTTTATCTTTATTATGCATTTTAAAACATACACAGAAATTCAATCAAAATTAATTAAAAAAAAGAAAAGGCAAGAAACACATCGAATTAAACAAAATTCAAATTAAAAATTCTTGTAAAACACATACATAATCTTTGTTTTATTTACAACTTTTTAACTGTATTTTTTACCATCTTCCTCTTTCAGGTGTCAGAGAGGATATTAATGATCTTTGCCGGTCTCATCTCTATGCGGACGGCAGCTGAATGGTATCCCAAAAGTCTGAAGTGTGACGTTTCTCAGGCTAATAACGGGACCGAGGTCAGCGTCAACTGCACTGAGCGAGACCTAACCGAAGTTCCTCTGGGAATCCCAACGAATACCACCAACCTGACACTAACCATCAACCACATACCCCACATCAGGAACGATTCATTCCACGAGCTGCACAACATCACCGAGATCGACCTCCGATGCAACTGCGTACCGATCAAAGTCGGTCCCAAAGATCGCGTCTGCACCCAGAGCGTGACGATTGACAACGGCACCTTCTGGAAGCTCAAGAACCTCAGGTCGCTTTACCTGGATGGGAACCAGCTGTCCAGCATTCCCAAGGGCCTTCCTCCCAACATAGTGCTCCTGAGTCTCGAGGTCAATAGCATCTATTCAATTCTTAAGGAGAATTTGACAGAACTGACTAATATCCAAAGGCTGTATCTCGGCCAGAACTGCTACTTCAGGAACCCGTGCAACAAGTCGTACAACATTGAAAAGGATGCGTTTGTGCAGCTTGACAAGATGACTTTGCTTTCTCTGAAGTCCAACAACTTGTCTTATATCCCACACCAATTACCATCAAGCCTAAAAGAGCTGTACCTTTACAACAACAATATTCAGACAATAACGGATGAGGACTTTCAGAACCTGACAGAGTTGGAAATACTGGACTTGAGTGGGAACTGTCCACGCTGCTATAATGCACCTTTCCCATGCACCCCATGCCCAAATAATGCTCCCCTTCAGATACATCCGGACTCCTTCAAGACTCTGAATAACCTAAAGACTCTTCGGCTTCATAGTAACTCTTTAACGGATATACCTTCAAAATGGTTTCAAAACCTGACACGACTTATTCTTCTAGACCTCTCAAGCAATTTCTTGGCTAAGGAGATAACATGCACCTCTTTTCCTTCTTTGCTGCCCTATCTAGAAGAGTTGGATCTGTCTTTCAACTTCGAGCTCCAGGTGTATCCCGCATCGCTCAACCTTTCAAGGTCATTCGACCGTCTTAAATCTCTAAGGGTCCTAAGAATCAGAGGGTATGTGTTTCAAGAACTCAAACTGGAAGACCTCAAACCATTGACTGAATTGAACAACCTGGAATTCATTGATCTCGGCACAAACTTCATAAAAATAGCGAACCTCAGTCTCCTGAAGAAGCTGAAAAGCTTCAGAATCATCAACTTGTCCGACAACAAAATCTCAATGCCGTCTGAAGGAGAATACACAGCTTCACATTCAAACCGCAGAGAAAAACAGTATGGTTCCCCAATGTCTCAAGGTGCCCAGTACCACAATGGAGAAGTGAAGGATATCCACTATTTCCTCTATGACGAATATGCGCGCAGCTGCAAATACAAGGACAAGGAACTCTGGATTACAAGTCCTTTCAACAACGAATGTAGCTCCTTTGGAAAAACGTTGGATATCAGTAGGAATAACATCTTTTTCCTTCATTCCAGATTTCTAGATCTTGATGAGCTGAGGTGTTTGAATCTCTCCGGGAACGCCATGAGCCAGAGTTTGAATGGGTCTGAGTTTGTCAAGTTGACGAATTTACAATACCTGGACTTTTCCGACAATCGTCTGGATTTGATGTTCTCCACAGCGTTTCAGGAACTGAGCAGCTTGGTCGTTCTGGACATCAGCCGTAACAGCCATTACTTCGTAGCTGAGGGTTTAACTCACATGTTGAACTTTACAAAGAGCCTGGCTAAGCTGAGAAAACTAATCATGAACGACAACCAGATATCCACATCCACGAACACCGAAATGGAGAGTTTTTCCTTGGAACATTTGGAGTTTAAAGGCAACCGTCTTGATATGTTGTGGAGGGATGGAGACACGAGGTACGTCAACTACTTTAAGAAACTTATGGCGTTGAAGACTCTCGACGTTTCTCATAACAACCTGAACTTCATCCCACAAGGGGTTTTCGAAGGTCTTCCAGAGACCCTCACAGAACTCTACATCACTGAAAACAGGTTGAAGTCGTTTAAATGGGAGGGTCTTAAAAACCTTAAAAACCTAAAGCTGTTAGACCTCAGTATGAATCACCTGACGGATCTTCCCACGTGCCTGACTAACTACACTAAATCAATCCAAACTCTTGTCCTACACAAGAACGACATTGCAAAACTGCCTCGGGATTTTCTAAAAGATGCATTCAGCCTCAAGATCTTGGATTTAAGTTACAATCGCATCCAGTTCATCCAAGAATCAAGCTTCCCGGAAAACGTTATTGACCACTTGCAGACCTTATACTTGAACAATAACCGGTTTGTGTGCTCTTGCAACGCCACGTGGTTCGTCCGATGGATCAACCGCACCTCGGTGAACATCCCGCGCCTCGCCACCGACGTAACGTGCTCTTCGCCGAGTGCCCAGAAAGGTCAGAGTGTCATTTTCCTAAACGTCCAAGCCTGCCAACACAACTACCTGTCAATCATCTTGTGTATATTTCTGACCTCTGTGATTCTCAGCATTCTCACGCTCACCATCTCCAGCCATCTTTTCCTCTGGGATGTGTGGTACATCTACCACTTTTGCTTGGCCAAACTCAAGGGATACCGAAGACTGTCCTGCAACAGCACCGTCTACGATGCCTTCGTGGTCTACGATACGACGGATCCAGCCGTTCACGAGTGGGTCACGCAGGAGTTACGCATTCAACTGGAAGAGAAAGGGGATCCACGGATGCAGTTGTGTTTGGAAGAGCGGGATTGGGTGCCTGGTTGTCCTCTGATTGAAAACCTTTCCCAGAGTATTCAGCTAAGCAAACGCACCGTGTTCATCCTGACGGGACACTACATCAAAAGCGGGAGCTTCAGGACAGCCTTTTATATGGCCCACCAGAGACTCATGGACGAAAGGAATGACGTTATCGTCCTGATTTTCTTGGAGAGAATGCCTTGTCACTCGAAGTACCTCAAACTGAGGAAGAGACTGTATAAAAAGTCAGTCCTGGAGTGGCCGAGGAATCCTCAAGCGCAGAGATACTTCTGGTTCAGTCTCCGAAGCCTCATGTCCACCGAGAGGCAGCAGTACAACAAGCTCTTCCAGGAGACTCTGTGACTGCGGCACAAGTCTCAAGACCACAATCAAACATATAGTCAAACCTAAATGTATTCAAATTTATTTCTCACATTATCTCAGTTTATTCACTATAGTTTAGAAAATGGTAGTAAATATGAGCAGAACTCAGTGGATATTTGACTGGTTTTGTCCGTCCTTCTGTTAGACTCTCACACATGAATTATGTTGAATATCTGTCAGCTGTTAAATTTAACTACACAATTAGATAATACCAGTTTAGCTCAACCAGTGACCAAGCAATGCTTCATGTTGTTCAGTCTGTGTGTAAAAAGAGCATTAGCAATTACAGAAAACACACTGAAGAAAACATGATCAGCTCAAAGTGGAGGAATAATTTGTGTTAATTAATGTCACTGGTAGTCACTGTATGAAGAGTTATTGGGTATAATATCTCACAGTTTACTTTATTCTGCTCTCCTCACTCACATAAATGAACTATAGTGTCCTGCACACACTAGTAAAAAAATATCAAAAATTATATCTGGTGTCTGAATTTTTTTTTTGGCTTGACTGTATAAACTTTAATATGATGTTGATTTGATTCTGTTTTATTGTCCGTGCAACTATATATAAACGCAACCACGTCTTTTGTTGAAGTTCACTGACAAATGCACTTTCCTTTCTGGGTATATGGCATACTTTTGGAAAGTTGTAACATGCTCAGACTAAAACTAATTCTCTTTTATTTATTATGTGTGCAGATTTTATGACCACATAGTAATATTAAATATTTAAATAATAATCATTTATATTATTATTATTAAAACCGCATTTTGCTAATTATTTTTTAATGGGTGTAGATTTCATGAAAAATATTGTTTACATTGTTTTTATTATTATTATTGTTATCAAAAAATTATAAATTACTGTTGTTATTGGTCAAACTCAAGGAATACAGCCGGCAGATTGATCAATAACAATAATAAGTTATTATTATTATTATTTTTATTTTTTTTATTATATTCTGCTTGGCCAAGCAGATGTGTAATAATAATAATAATATATTCATAGTTTTTAGATAGTAGTAGTTGTATGCTAATGTAAGTATTGCACTTACATGTTTTTTCACCCAGCAGAATGCTAATCAAGGTTGTCGTTTTTATGTCATTAAAAAATTGTAGTCTGAAATTACAGTGTTTTTTTATTCTGTCCTCCAAATAAAAAATCCAGAAATTTTTATATTTCAATTTTTCTAAGAAGAATGTTTTTTCAAATATCATGCTAACAGATCAATCAATGTACACTTATATATCAATGTACACTTTTAAGTATATTTCAGTTTTTTGAAACACTGAACACTGAAGCATCGGGTCTCCACAGACGAGTTTTACAGGGGCCCCGAGGGGCCGGAGCGAAAGTCTGAAAACCGACGCAGCGTGTCCTTGCCTGAACTATGAGGTAACGAAACAAAAAATGGGGCGGGGGGTTAGAAATGTTCTACATTTAAATCTAAATTTAGTGAGTTTATGCTTAGAATTAGAAAAAAAATCAGAATTTAATGCATAAACTCTCTTAATTTTGATAATTTTACATTAAACAAGACTTAATATCTTCAGTAAATGTGTCTTGATTCAAGAATGTTTTGATATTAGTGCTGGAAAACGAGACAGAAACACTGAGGAAGAAACGCATTATTTTGCTGTGAAATCTCCATCATGTTGGAAAAACATACAGAGAGAATGTTTGCATTTATGTGTCAGATATACATGTGTTCATTTGTTTGTGAGTTTGGGATTGAACGTGTTGAAAGTGCCCCTAATTCAGTTCTAGAATATATTTTTAGAAGTTTCATCATAGTGGAAATCCCCATTATTCTAGTGCCTTTTATATGATAGAAATACTATTGCGGTTTTGCAATAGAGGATAGTCGATTTTATTCTGCCAAAACATTAGAAAATTAGTATCATTTCCATGTGTGTAATTTCTGTGTCAGTGGTGTCACCAAACAAAATGGCTAAAAATAACAAACTGCTTTGCACAGGGTTTCACTTTTATAAGGAAATGATTGACTTACAGTGACTCTGCATTTTTACAGTAGAGAGACAGGAAACTATTCTACCGCTGAGAAATTCACATGACCTTTAAAATACCACATTCTTATACAGATTCCCCAAAACACAACACCTGCAGATCAATAACTGACCGTGCGGAGCATAAACATGCCGTTGAAGGAAACAGGAATGCATTTTGAAATTAAATTATGAAGCATGGAAGGTCTTTTCCAGTTTCGATTTCTGAAATATAGTGCATGTGATTTGTGTCCCTGGGAAGAAGGAACAATGTAGGCTGACTTCCTCTCTTATAATGGAAACTTTGTGGCTGCGCGGATCCACACGGCCAGTAAGATATGACCAATGATAAAAGACATCAAACAAATGACTTTCATCAAACACAACGGAGCGGTTTATATCAGTCGGTGGACTGGCAGCTGGCGATGACACGCGACACTTAGAGATCTATTAGTGTTAAAATAGTTTAACAGTTAAACCAAAACTTCCTGTTTCCTAAATGCAACTGTGTGCATCACCAGACTCTTGTTCACTTTTCTTGGGTGTAAGCATTGCATTGGTTGCACAGGGACATTGCTACCATGGTAAGAAACTCTATTTATACAATTATTAGTAGTAGTATTCATTGTTTGTAAACTGTAAAAAAGTTCCTGCATTACATTTAAGTACAATCAACTTGGATGTTTAAGTCATATCAATTTAAATTACATTAAACTGACTTAAATGAGTTAAATCTTGATGTTGGGGTGATTTTTGGTTTTAACGAGACAAGATTATTATTTATTTTTGCATATGTTGTTGTTTATAGTTAAAGACAAATGCATTTTGTGCACATATAAAATGCATTGCTTTAATAAGGAATAATGTTTTGGTAACACTTTAAGGTCAGTAGTTATCGTCAATTAATGCATTAACTGGCAATTTGATCAATTTTTGGGGGTTTTCCGCTTCGGTAGAATTTTCACAAGTAATGTGTACATTTTCAAAACTCTCACACTTGTCATTTTTAAAGCTTGATTTCTTTCATGGAATCTATCATGTAAAGTCCCCTAAATTATTTAGTCTATAGACACAATGAATTTAATATTTTTATTTTAAGTTGACTCTCAAAACTGATTATAAATGATAAATCACTTGTGTAAAAAGTGATTAATTACATTTGATAATTCATATGGGAAATTGCAAACATGTTCCATAGAATCAATATCTTTAGAAATCTACAGATGTACTGAAATGATTCATTGATTAACCATTAAGTTCAGTTCAGAAGCAAATCAAAGTTTGATAGTAAGAGCTTTCTGAAAGGCACTTGATGATGATGATTTAACCGTTCTGTCGTGGTCGACTTTCGGTCACTTTATGAATGAATGAAACATTCATATAATGTAGATTAACTTTTTTGTGAAGTGAAAAGGATACTTTGTGATTTTGAGTAATTGTACTAACACAATAAAAACATTTATGCTGAAATGTTTGAAAAAAGTGCATGATCTGTTGTGCTATCAGTACTGTAACAGTAAACTGTACTACTGTTGCAATAATATTTATTGATAATTAATCATTATTTTTTTGTCATTGCGCAATGTCATTTAAAAACTCTTTGTTTCATATTCCCAAAGGTGATAAAATTAGAAGTCTGGCTTTTTATGACATTGAAGATCTCACTAACCCTGTGCCAAATGGACGTGAGGACCCTGAAGACTCAGCCCTGCGATATACATGAGAACAAAACTGAGATGACGATTGTGATGAACTGTCGTGGACGTGGACTCAAAGATGTGCCAGCGCTCGTAAGAAACGCCACCAGCCTGGACCTATCGGAGAACATGATCAAGAACTTAACATCGGGAGTTTTCCGACACCTGGAGAATCTGACCATTTTAAATCTGAACTGGGCGAATAAGGGTGGTAAGGTTGTTATTGCTGACAAGGAGTTTTTGAATTTGACCAAGTTACGTACGCTGGAGCTCAGTGGGATCGGTCTAAAATGCGTACCAAAAAATCTTCCAAAAAACCTGTTGGAACTATTGCTTGAAGTGAACAAGATCACCCGGTTGAACTCGACATCCTTTGTGCATGTGCCAAATCTGTCACGTCTTCATCTTTCGAAAAACTGCTACTACTGGAATCCTTGCTCAAGAGATTATCACATAGAAAATGGAAGTTTCTCAGTCCTGACGAGATTGAAAGATCTTACTTTGTCATACAACAACCTAACTCAAGTGCCCAGAGGATTACCGGGGTCTTTAAGGACTCTTGAGCTCGATTCAAACAAAATTGCGTACGTCGGAGAGCATGATTTCCAAGGACTCGACAATCTGACATGTCTAAAAATCCAAGGAAACTGTCCACGGTGTTATAATGCTCCGTATCCATGTGTTCCTTGTAAAAATAATTCTATTAAAATCCATCCACAAGCTTTTGCCAACCTTGGACAGCTGCGGATTCTGTACCTCGCAGGGAATTCGATCACGTCCATAGACCCCAGTTGGCTCGCCAACATTTCGAAGCTTGAGGAGCTCAACCTATCGTTTAATTTTTTGTCTCAAGCAGTTACAACGAATGTGTTCTTAAATAATCTGCCACTGCTAACCAAACTCGATCTTTCGTTTAACTATGCCCTTAAGAGTTACCCGGAAACAGTTATACTATCGCCCAGCTTCGCAAACTTGACCTCTCTAAGGAAGTTGCACATTCGAGGTTTGGTGTTTCAAGAAATCCAAGAGAATACCTTCAGCTCTCTGTATGGCTTACAAAATCTCTCTGTGTTGGATGTGGGGATAAACTTCATTGTGCGTGCAAAGTTGAAAATATTTGAAAAATTCCAACACGTGAAACTACTCTATCTTTCGGAAAACAGATTTTACCCGGTGATCATAAATATGGACTTGAGAAAAGACGCAGGCGTTGGTTTCAAATCCCCATCCCTCTCAGTGTCAGAACCGAACCCTAAAGATCATTCTTACGATGTTCCAAAATTTCTCGTGAAGCCAGAGTGCTACGCCACCGGCCGAGTGTTGGATCTCAGTCGAAATAACCTATTCCTAATTTCTCCGCAACAGTTTGAGAGTTACGGGAACATATCTTGCCTCAATCTCTCCATGAATGGCTTTGCCACAGCTCCGAATGGATCCGATTTCATATTGCTTCCAGGTCTCAAATACCTAGATTTGTCCTACAACAAAATTGATCTGGCGTACGATCACGCCTTCCAAGAGTTACAGAGTCTTGAGGTGCTGGACCTTAGTTACAACGACCATTATTTCACTGTGCCAGGCGTGACACACAATTTGAATTTCATCCAATATTTGCCCTCTTTGAAGGTGTTGAACATGAGCTCCAATAAAATCAAAACATTAACCACCAAAAACATCTCAAGCGCGTCTCTTCAAGAGCTGCAATTCCAGTACAATAGTCTTGGCAAGATGTGGAGGGAAAATGACAAAACCTACGATAGGCTTTTTGCAAACTTGACCAATCTGACTCATCTCGACATATCCTACAACTATATCGAGAGAATCCCTGATAGAGTGTATACTCTTCTTCCCAGAAGCATTCAGAGGTTGCGATTAAGCCACAATGGACTGGTGAACTTGAACTGGACAATGCTGAGACATTTCCCACATCTCCGAGAGCTCATTTTAAGTAACAACAGGATCTTTCAAATATCAAGTAATTTGTCAGGTGATGTTCCCTCTTTACAGTTCCTCGATCTCCAGCATAACCAAATATCTAAGCTATCCGGTGGATTTCTACAGGGAGCAGTTAACCTTAAACTGCTTGATCTCAGTCACAACAAGCTCATAACTGTCAACCAGTCCACATTTCCACCTGAAACCGAGAGTTACCTGAAGACGCTGTGGCTCAGCGGCAACCCGTTCCAATGCACATGCAACCTACTTGAATTCATTCTGTGGATTTATAAGACCAATGTGAAAATCCCTCGATTGGTGACCGGAGTGACGTGCGCCATGCCAGAAGAGAGAAAAGGTGTTCCTGTAATAAAATTTGACATTAAAGAATGCATCGATGACCAATTGGCCTTTCTGGCGTACTTCCTCTCCATTGTGTGCATTATATGCACCACTTTCGTGGCTGTCGCTATGCACCTTTTCTACTGGGACGTCTCCTACTTATTCTACTATTTTAAAGCCAGATTCACTGGATATCAGCACCTGAGCTCTGACAGCTGCCTCTACGATGCCTTCGTCACCTACGACACCAAGGACGAGCAGGTCAAGCCTTATTTCTGTAGTGCTTTATATTAATATACAGATTGTTTCAAAGCACCAAACCCTGAAGCTCAGTTTCATAGTTTCATGCGTAACGCGAGAATGAACCTCATTGGTTCTTGCTGAAGCTCAAATGTGCTGCGTAACACGAGAATGAACCTCATTGGCTCTTGCTGAAGCTCAAACGTGATGCGTAACACGAGAATGAACCTCATTGGCTCTTGCTGAAGCTCAAACGTGATGCGTAACACGAGAATGAACCTCATTGGTTCTTGCTGAAGCTCAAACGTGCTGCGTAACACGAGAATGAACCTCATTGGTTCTTGCTGAAGCTCAAACGTGATGCGTAACACGAGAATGAACCTCATTGGTTCTTGCTGAAGCTCAAACGTGCTGCGTAACACGAGAATGAACCTCATTGGTTCTTGAGAAGCTCAAACGTGCTGCGTAACACGAGAATGAACCTCATTGGTTCTTGACGAAGCTCAAACGTGCTGCGTAACACGAGAATGAACCTCATTGGTTCTTGAGAAGCTCAAACGTGCTGCGTAACACGAGAATGAACCTCATTGGTTCTTGCTGAAGCTCAAACGTGCTGCGTAACACGAGAATGAACCTCATTGGTTCTTGAGAAGCTCAAACGTGCTGCGTAACACGAGAATGAACCTCATTGGCTCTTGCTGAAGCTCAAACGTGCTGCGTAACACGAGAATGAACCTCATTGGCTCTTGCTGAAGCTCAAACGTGCTGCGTAACACGAGAATGAACCTCATTGGTTCTTGCTGAAGCTCAAACGTGCTGCGTAACACGAGAATGAGCCTCATTTGCATATTCTTAGACACAATTCAGCATAACATATGGTTATACAAATAAAATAACGTTCTGGGGAAGGATCTTTTTAGGTTGCGAAAAAATAACCATTCTTTCAGACGAATACAATCAGAGTTATATAAAAAAAAAGTCCTGGCTCTTCCAAGCTTTATAAAGGCAGTGAATGGCCGTTTCTGTCCATAAGATGCATGCATCTATCCATCATAAAAGTATTAAATATGGATATTTTTCTTACATAAACGTATGGCTTCGCTTCAGAAGGCCTTTATTAACCCCCCAAAGCCTCTGAAGCACTTTTATGATGGATAGATGCACTTTTATGATGGATAGATGCACTTTTATGATGGATAGTTGCACTTTTATGATGGATAGATGCACTTTTACGATGGACAGATGCACTTTTATGATGGAGAGATGCACTTTTATGATGGATAGATGCACTTTTATGATGGATAGATGCACTTTTATGATGGATAGATGCACTTTTATGATGGAGAGATGCACTTTTATGATGGATAGATGCACTTTTATGATGGACAGATGCACTTTTATGATGGAGAGATGCACTTTTATGATGGATAGATGCACTTTTATGATGGATAGTTGCACTTTTATGATGGATAGATGCACTTTTATGATGGACAGATGCACTTTTATGATGGAGAGATGCACTTTTATGATGGATAGATGCACTTTTATGATGGACAGATGCACTTTTATGATGGAGAGATGCACTTTTATGATGGATAGATGCACTTTTATGATGGATAGTTGCACTTTTATGATGGATAGATGCACTTTTATGATGGACAGATGCACTTTTATGATGGAGAGATGCACTTTTATGATGGATAGATGCACTTTTATGATGGATAGATGCACTTTTATGATGGATAGATGCACTTTTATGATGGATAGTTGCACTTTTATGATGGATAGATGCACTTTTATGATGGACAGATGCACTTTTATGATGGAGAGATGCACTTTTATGATGGATAGATGCACTTTTATGATGGATAGATGCACTTTTATGATGGAGAGATGCACTTTTATGATGGACAGATGCACTTTTATGATGGACAGATGCACTTTTATGATGGACAGATGCACTTTTATGATGGACAGATGCACTTTTATGATGGATGGATGCACTTTTATGATGGGCAGATGCACTTTTATGATGGACAGATGCACTTTTATGATGGATAGATGCACTTTTATGATGGATAGATGCACTTTTATGATGGACAGATGCACATTTATGATGGATAGATGCACTTTTATGATGGATAGATGCACTTTTATGATGGACAGATGCACTTTTATGATGGATAGATGCACTTTTATGATGGATAGATGCACTTTTATGATGGATAGATGCACTTTTATGATGGACAGATGCACTTTTATGATGGATAGATGCACTTTTATGATGGACAGATGCACTTTTATCATGGATAGATGCACTTTTATGATGGACAGATACACTTTTATGATGGATAGATGCACTTTCATGATGGACAGATGCACTTTTATGATGGACAGATGCACTTTTATCATGGATAGATGCACTTTTATGATGGACAGATGCACTTTTGTGATGGACAGATGCAGTTTTTGTGATGGATAGATGCAGTTTAATGATGGATAGATGCACTTTTATAATGGACAGATGCACTTTTATCATGGATAGATGCACTTTTATGATGGACAGATGAACTTTTATGATGGATAGATGCAATTTAATGATGGATAGATGCACTTTTATGATGGATAGATGCACTTTTATGATGGATAGATGCACTTTTATGATGGACAGATGCACTTTTATGATGGATAGATGCACTTTTATGATGGGCAGATGCACTTTTATGATGGGCAGATGCACTTTTATGATGGACAAATGCACTTTTATGATGGATAAATCCACTTTTATGATGGATAGATGCACATTTATGATGGACAGATGCACTTTTATGATGGATAGATGCACTTTAATGATGGATAGATGCACTTTTATGATGGACAGATGCACTTTTATGATGGATAGATGCACTTTTATGATGGACAGATGCACTTTTATGATGGATAGATGCACTTTTATGATGGATAGATGCACTTTTATGATGGACAGATGCACTTTTATCATGGACAGATGCACTTTTATGATGGATAGATGCACTTTTATGATGGATAGATGCACTTTTATCATGGATAGATGCACTTTTATGATGGACAGATGCACTTTTATGATGGACAGATGCACTTTTATCATGGATAGATGCACTTTTATGATGGACAGATGCACTTTTATGATGATAGATGTACTTTTATGATGGACAGATGCACTTTTATGATGGACAGATGCACTTTTATCATGGATAGATGCACTTTTATGATGGACAGATGCACTTTTATGATGGACAGATGCACTTTTTGTGATGGATAGATGCACTTTAACGATGGATAGATGCACTTTTATGATGGACAGATGCACTTTTATCGTGGATAGATGCACTTTTATGATGGACAGATGCACTTTTATGATGGATAGATGCACTTTAATGATGGATAGATGCACTTTTATGATGGATAGATGCACTTTTATGATGGATAGATGCACTTTTATGATGGACAGATGCACTTTTATGATGGATAGATGCACTTTTATGATGGACAGATGCACTTTTATCATGGATAGATGCACTTTTATAATGGATAGATGCACTTTAATGATGGATAGATGCACTTTTATGATGGATAGATGCACTTTAATGATGGATAGATGCACTTTAATGATGGATAGATGCACTTTTATGATGGATAGATGCACTTTTATGATGGACAGATGCACTTTTATGATGGATAGATGCACTTTAATGATGGACAGATGCACTTTTATCATGGATAGATGCACTTTTATCATGGACAGATGCACTTTTATGATGGATAGATGCACTTTTATCATGGATAGATGCACTTTTATCATGGATAGATGCACTTTTATCATGGACAGATGCACTTTTATGATGGACAGATGCACTTTTATGATGGATAGATGCACTTTTATGATGGATAGATGCACTTTTATCATGGATAGATGCACTTTTATCATGGATAGATGCACTTTTATCATGGACAGATGCACTTTTATGATGGATAGATGCACTTTTATCATGGATAGATGCACTTTTATGATGGATAGATGCACTTTTATGATGGATAGATGCACTTTTATGATGGACAGATGCACTTTTATGATGGATAGATGCACTTTTATGATGGATAGATGCACTTTAATGATGGATAGATGCACATTTATCATGGATAGATTCACTTTTATGATGGACAGATGCACTTTAATGATGGACAGATGCACTTTTATTATGGACAGATGCACTTTTATCATGGATAGATGCACTTTTATGATGGACAGATGCACTTTTATGATGGACAGATGCACTTTTATGATGGATAGATGCACTTTTATGATGGACAGATGCAGTTTTATGATGGATAGATGCACTTTTATGATGGATAGATGCACTTTTATGATGGATAGATGCACTTTTATCATGGATAGATGCACTTTTATGATGGACAGATGCACTTTTATGATGGACAGATGCACTTTTATCATGGATAGATGCACTTTTATGATGGACAGATGCACTTTTATCATGGATAGATGCACTTTTATAATGGATAGATGCACTTTAATGATGGATAGATGCACTTTTATGATGGATAGATGCACTTTTATGATGGACAGATGCACTTTTATGATGGACAGATGCACTTTTATAATGGATAGATGCACTTTAATGATGGATAGATGCACTTTTATCATGGATAGATGCACTTTTATGATGGACAGATGCACTTTTATGATGGATAGATGCACTTTAATGATGGACAGATGCACTTTTATGATGGATAGATGCACTTTTATCATGGATAGATGCACTTTTATCATGGACAGATGCACTTTTATGATGGATAGATGCACTTTTATGATGGATAGATGCACTTTTATCATGGATAGATTCACTTTTATGATGGACAGATGCACTTTAATGATGGACAGATGCACTTTTATGATGGACAGATGCACTTTTATCATGGATAGATGCACTTTTATGATGGACAGATGCACTTTTATCATGGATAGATGCACTTTTATCATGGATAGATGCACTTTTATCATGGATAGATGCACTTTTATAATGGACAGATGCACTTTTATGATGGACAGATGCACTTTTTGTGATGGATAGATGCACTTTTATGATGGACAGATGCACTTTTATGATGGACAGATGCACTTTTTGTGATGGATAGATGCACTTTTATGATGGACAGATGCACTTTTATGATGGACAGATGCACTTTTTGTGATGGATAGATGCACTTTTATGATGGATAGATGCACTTTTATGATGGATAGATGCACTTTTATGATGGACAGATGCACTTTTATGATGGACAGATGCACTTTTTGTGATGGATAGATGCACTTTTATGATGGATAGATGCACTTTTTTGATGGATAGATGCACTTTTATGATGGACAGATGCACTTTTATGATGGACAGATGCACTTTTATGATGGATAGATGCACTTTAATGATGGATAGATGCACTTTTATGATGGACAGATGCACTTTTATGATGGACAGATGCACTTTTTGTGATGGATAGATGCACTTTTATGATGGATAGATGCACTTTTATGATGGATAGATGCACTTTTATGATGGACAGATGCACTTTTATCATGGATAGATGCACTTTTATGATGGACAGATGCACTTTTATGATGGACAGATGCACTTTTATCATGGATAGATGCACTTTTATGATGGACAGATGCACTTTTATGATGGACAGATGCACTTTTATGATGGATAGATGCACTTTTATGATGGACAGATGCACTTTTATGATGGACAGATGCACTTTTTGTGATGGACAGATGCACTTTTATGATGGACAGATGCACTTTAATGATGGACAGATGCACTTTTATGATGGACAGATGCACTTTTATGATGGATAGATGCACTTTTATAATGGACATATGCACTTTTATGATGGACAGATGCACTTTTATGATGGACAGATGCACTTTTATGATGGACATATGCACTTTTATGATGGATAGATGCACTTTTATGATGGACAGATGCACTTTTATGATGGATAGATGCACTTTTATGATGGACAGATGCACTTTTATGATGGACAGATGCACTTTTATGATGGATAGATGCACTTTTATGATGGATAGATTCACTTTTATGATGGATAGATTCACTTTTATGATGGACAGATGCACTTTAATGATGGATAGATGCACTTTTATGATGGATAGATGCACTTTTATGATGGATGGATTCACTTTTATGATGGATAGATTCACTTTTATGATGGACAGATGCACTTTAATGATGGATAGATGCACTTTTATGATGGATAGATGCACTTTTATCATGGATAGATGCACTTTTATAATGGACAGATGCACTTTTATGATGGACAGATGCACTTTTATGATGGACAGATGCACTTTTATGATGGACATATGCACTTTTATGATGGATAGATGCACTTTTATGATGGACAGATGCACTTTTATGATGGATAGATGCACTTTTATGATGGATAGATGCACTTTTATGATGGACAGATGCACTTTTATGATGGATAGATGCACTTTTATGATGGATAGATTCACTTTTATGATGGACAGATGCACTTTTATGATGGATAGATTCACTTTTATGATGGATAGATGCACTTTTATGATGGACAGATGCACTTTTATGATGGATGGATGCACTTTTATGATGGATAGATTCACTTTTATGATGGACAGATGCACTTTTATGATGGATAGATGCACTTTTATGATGGACAGATGCACTTTAATGATGGACAGATGCACTTTTATGATGGACAGATGCACTTTTATTATGGACAGATGCACTTTTATGATGGACAGATGCACTTTTATGATGGATAGATGCACTTTTATGATGGACATATGCACTTTTATGATGGATAGATGCACTTTTATGATGGACAGATGCACTTTTATGATGGATAGATGCACTTTTATGATGGATAGATGCACTTTTATGATGGACATATGCACTTTTATGATGGATAGATGCACTTTTATGATGGACAGATGCACTTTTATTATGGACAGATGCACTTTTATGATGGACAGATGCACTTTTATGATGGATACACTGTCAGAAAAAAAAGTACAAAACGGTACCTTTTAGGGTACAAGTGGCTGTCACTGGGGTGGTACCCTGAGGGGTACCTTTTTGTACCTTTAATGAGAGGTACAAAATTGTACCTTATAGCTTTGTACCATTTTAGGGGCAATGTTGTACCCCAAGGTACAATTGTGCATACTGTAATGAAAGCACAAAATTGTACCTTATTAAAAGGATATGCCCTAATGACAATACAGTTTTAATCGTATGGTGCGCAAAAAAATATTTTTAAGAAACTGGCTTTGATACGCATATTTTCCAGATTCAATTTTATTTATTAACCTTCTTTTACAAAGAGAATTACTTACAGGTTGCGAGTCAAGACAATTAATTGTTCATCACACATAAAATTCATCAGACATTACTCAACAAATATAATCAGAAGTATAAAGCAATCATTTAAAACTGTAACACCTTCAAAAAAAGGGAACAGGAGTACATGAATTGTCTATACTGTCAAATACTTACAAATCAAATATAAGAAGAGTTATATATTGATATACAGCTAATTATACAGGATAATGTACTGCACATTGAGGTTTACAGCATTGGGCAGTTGTTCTTCAGCAAGAATACCTTGTGCTAATAATTTTATATCAACATTGTAGGCATCATTTTTTAACATCATTAATCTCTACTTATAACTCGCTGAAGCTGTTTGTCTTCAAAATTGACATGGCTGTACTTCTTGAATGCAGTAGAGCCGAAGTTAGTTATTGAAAAATGTACCTGATGTGCATTAAAGGGATAGTTCACCCAAAAATGAAAACTCTGTCAGTAATGACTCTCCCTCATGTTGTTCAACCCCGTAAGACTTTCGTTCATCTTCGGAACACGAATTAAGATATTTGTGATTAAATCTGAGAGCTGGATCACTCCTCCATAGGCTTCTAAGGGATTGAAACTTGCAGGCCCAGAAAAGTTATTAAAGACATCGTTAAAATAGTCCAAGTGACTACAGTGGCTCAATCTTAAGTTTATCAAGCGACGAGAATATTTTTTGTGGGCCTCGAGTCAGTTCACATAGTGTGCGTAGTGTTTCTGTGTTGTACGTCACACGTAGGCTCAGTATTGGCCGGCGCTGGTCATGTGTGTGATGCGTGTGACGTACAACACAGAAACACTTACGCTATTACACTAGTGAACTCACTCGAGGCCCACAGAGAAGGAAATGAATAGTTGAAATAAAGTCGTTATTTTTGTTTGTTTTTTGGGCACTAAAAATATTCTCGTCGCTTGATAAACTTAAGAATGAGCCACTGTAGTCACTTGGACTATTTTAACGATGTCTATAATAACTTTTCGGGGAACAAGTTTCGATCCCTTAAGAAGCCTATGGAGGAGTGATCCAGCTCTCAGATTTAATCACAAATATCTTCATTTGTGTTCTGAAGATGAACGAAAGTCTTACGGGGTTGAATAACATGAGGGAGAGTAATTACTGACAGAATTTTCATTTTTGGGTGAACTATCCCTTTAATGAGACCAATATGCTGGATTTATTTGACAATCGTGAATGTTCTCCGAGAGCATTTAGGACAACAGAACAGGTGATGGATTTGTGCAGATGTTACTGTAAGAGGTTGATCACTCTGGTAACCAGGGTAGGAAGAGGCTTGTCACCATCCACAGAAAGTTTCAAAACATACCGCTGAAGAAACATCAGGGTGTTCAAGTGTCAAATTGAATACGAAATAGGTTCAAAATGCAGAAAGAGCCCCTCAATCCACACAGCTAGCCCAGCAGATCTCTATCCCATCTACTCTTGATGACTACAGTGACTTTTCTTGTAAGCACATTTTTCCAGTCAGTGGCTTCCTGTACTTGAACAGTTGGATATGATGAGGATGGTTTACTGTAAAAGACAAAAGCACAAAATAGATTTAATCTCAATCAAATTTTATGATCATACATGTTAACTGATGTAGAGAAATAATCTATGCATTTTATTCACCCCATTTGTATGTGGGCTGTAAATATATTTCAAGAATTATAATAAGCATTTATGATAGACATTCAAGTAAAAGACAGAGAAACATTTTGCGCACCTACCCAAGCACAACGAAGTGTTCAAGCTTCTCTCTGAACAAGGCTGGCAACATGAGAAGGGGTGCTTTAAAATCTATTCCTGAAACAAAAGATATTGACATGATATATATATATATTTTTTTTTACACAAAATTATTATAGAAACAATAGTAGTAATATTAAGATTGAATCGTCTACTTACATATCCATTGCCTTCTTAGTCCTTTAAAATGGGGTACCTCAGAGTCAGGGCCATATAGCCACTTAAACATACACCTTAGAAGTTGAATATCTGCAAAATATTTTAAACACTTTTGTTTAAAAAAAAATGTAATTAAAATGTAACCCATTAATACTTTGGCGCAGTAAATGAGGAATACTTACATACTGTACTGAGCCATGCTTTCATACAATGTTATTATTTTGATCCTATCTGATGCTGAAGGTTTCCTTCGTTTCTGGTCCAACTTAGCCTGAACATCAAAAAGAAACTTAGGAACTTCAAAAACTGCAGAAAAAGCTGCTGATGGGCTTCTATGGTAAAAAAAAAGAAAAAAAGAAAAAAGAGAAAGTAATAATTAGGCAATGTTACAGGGATACATAAAGACAACTAATACTATAAAGTACAAGTTATTACTAGTGAAAAGACAAATTATTACTAGGGCTGCCCCGTTTGAAGGCCGAGACGTGTATAATCTGGGTCGGTGCGTTGCTTCTTGTGCGGCCTAACAAAATCTTGCAATCCAAACGGCAGGACATCTTTAGTCTCAAAATGTAAAAACTGAGATAAAACACTAATTACAATGGCTAGCCCTGCACAGATATAGTGTTAGCCACAGTGTTTATTAAAGAAATAAGGTATGAGAGGCTAAATCATGAAAGTTTAATCATGGAAAATGGCGTTGTCACACAGAGTAACGTTATTAATTATAATCCTCGAGAAACCTCGATTTTCTTAAAACATCCCAACATGCGATAGATACTCACCCTCAGTTTTTCCCCTCTCCTCTTCAGTGATTTCGATACCAAACTGCATTAACGTTAGCTCTTTTATTAATTGAACGTTTGACATTTTCCTCAAACTCCATTTTGAAGGCTCAAGTAACGTACACCAGCCACTCGCGGGCTTAAAGCAAAAGAACATCAAATTAGACAAAATCAACAGAACATGCCAACATACGTGAAAAAAATATGAATATATTATAACATTATCCCGCATTTACCTGAAAAATGTGTCCTCCAAAATATGCTAGCCGTTGGAAATCGTGAGAAGTTCTGTCTGAGAACTGTTCAGTCAGAGAACCGATTCCGATTCCGAACGACTTACGCCAAGCAGGAAATTTTCTTAAAGCGACAACAACAGTAACGTCTGCATAAGCTATAAGTATGTTTTGAATAATTACTTGAATATATATTTTTTTTACGTTCATCATTGTCTGTATTCCTAATTTAATTCAGCATCAGTCACTCTGTTTTTGATGCAACATTCAAAAGTTAATTAATTTGATTAAAAAAAAAATAACAAAAAAAATTTAATACCAGGCCTACATTACAACAAACATTAACAATTATTAAAAATAAATCATATAAGTTCATTAATAGGTTTGGAAACAGACAATTAATGGTGATGCACAAGGCGGCCTACAAAATATATTATTAACATTTAAAAAACAACTTAAAATGGTGGTGTAAAAAAAAACTAGTTTCAAAAGGTACAAAAATGGACCTTTCACATCTAAACCTAAAATATTGTACCTTAATAAGCTATTTTGGGTACATAATTGTACCCTAGGGACCTATTGTGGACCTTTAAAGGTACAGTTATATATTTTGTACCCCTAAGAACAAAATTGTACCTGCACAGTACCTTTTTTCTGACAGTGTAGATGCACTTTTATGATGGACATATGCACTTTTATGATGGATAGATGCACTTTTATGATGGACAGATGCACTTTTATGATGGACAGATGCACTTTTATGATGGATAGATGCACTTTTATGATGGATAGATGCACTTTTATGATGGATAGATGCACTTTTATGATGGACAGATGCACTTTTATGATGGATAGATGCACTTTTATGATGGATAGATGCACTTTTATGATGGATAGATGCACTTTTATGATGGATAGATGCACTTTTATGATGGATAGATGCACTTTTATGATGGACAGATGCACTTTTATGATGGATAGATGCACTTTTATGATGGATAGATGCACTTTTATGATGGACAGATGCACTTTTATGATGGACAGATGCACTTTTATGATGGATAGATGCACTTTTATGATGGATAGATGCACTTTTATGATGGACAGATGCACTTTTATGATGGATAGATGCACTTTAATGATGGATAGATGCACTTTTATGATGGACAGATGCACTTTTATGATGGACAGATGCACTTTTATGATGGACAGATGCACTTTTATGATGGACAGATGCACTTTTATGATGGATAGATGCACTTTTATGATGGATAGATGCACTTTTATGATGGATAGATGCACTTTTATGATGGATAGATGCACTTTTATGATGGATAGATGCACTTTTATCATGGATAGATGCACTTTTATGATGGACAGATGCACTTTTATGATGGATAGATGCACTTTAATGATGGACAGATGCACTTTTATGATGGATAGATGCACTTTTATCATGGATAGATGCACTTTTATCATGGACAGATGCACTTTTATGATGGATAGATGCACTTTTATGATGGATAGATGCACTTTTATCATGGATAGATTCACTTTTATGATGGACAGATGCACTTTTATGATGGACAGATGCACTTTTATGATGGACAGATGCACTTTTATGATGGATAGATGCACTTTTATGATGGATAGATGCACTTTTATGATGGACAGATGCACTTTTATGATGGACAGATGCACTTTTATGATGGATAGATGCACTTTTATGGACTTCAAAATAGAAACAGCCATTCACTGCCATTATAAAGCCTGGAAGAGCCAGGACATTTATTAATTTAACTCTGATTGTATTCGTCTGAAAGAAGAATGTCATATACACCTGAGATGACTCGAGAGAGAGTAAATCATGGGCTAATTTAAATTTTTGGGTGAACTACCCCTGTAAGCTCATCTCAGTGACGGTGTGGATGTTGCAGGTGTCCGACTGGGTGCTGAATCACCTGCGGGTGCAGCTGGAGGAACGGGGCGAGCGCTTTCTTCCGATCTGCCTGGAGGAACGGGACTGGCTCCCCGGCTCTCCGGTGCTGGACAGTCTGACCCAGAGCATCCAGCACAGCCGCAAAACCGTGTTCGTGCTGACCGAGGGTTACGTGACCAGCGGATCCTTCAAGCTGGCCGTGTTCCTGGCCCACCAGCGCCTCCTGGAGGAGAACGAGGACGTGATCGTGTTGCTGCTCCTGGAGCCAGTTCTTCAACACTCGCATTTCTTGCGTCTGCGCAGACGGCTGTGTTCCCGAAGCATCCTGGAGTGGCCCCGCTCCTCGTGCGCCGAGGCCTGGTTCTGGCAATCCCTGCGCAACGCCGTACGGGTCGACAACCAGGACATGTACAGCGACCTCTACAGCCGATACTTCACCACCAAGTAGATGCGTGACCCGATCTGAGCTACGGACACACAGTTAATATCATGCAAAATTGAAGTGATGACCCCCTTAAACCATCAAAATATGAGGAAAATATACAGTAGCCGACCAAGTGATCTTTGCCTCAAGCACTGTGTTTTTCACAGTTAAGAGAAGTTTTTCTCTGAAATATGAGACTAAACCATCAAAATATGAGGAAATTATGGTTAAACTTTACATTAAGGTTCATTAGTTAGCATTAGTTTATGTAATAACTAACATGAACTAACAATGAGCAATACATTTGTTACTGTATTTATTAATCTCTGTTAATGTTAGTTAATAAAAATACAGCTGTTCATTGTGTGTTCATGTTAGTTCACAGTGCATTATAATGTTAACTAATACAACCTTTGATTTTAATAATGTATTAATAAATGTTGAAACTAATATTAACTATACATTAATAAATGTTGTAGAAGTTTTGTTCATTCTTAGTTCATGTTAATTAATGAACCTTATTGTAAAGTGTTACCGAAAATATATGATATATGAGGGAAGAACATAACACTAAACTTGGTTTGCTAACAAAATTAATAAACTACATGAAAAAGAAATGCACATCAAAACAAAAATCTCAGGTAAAAGCAAACACAATCAGTTATTAATATTTGGTTGATTCTCTTGTTTTTGCATGTGTTCATAATTTCTCTGCCCGGACAAAAATGATGTCGCACAATTTCTCACGTTTTATTGCGTTATTATCACAAATAAAACAAGCGCAACTTTTTATTGCTTATATGACTAAAATCTTTAATAATAATTGAAGAAAGGGTGAAGATGTCGATTTTAGGCCGTCACTTTTATACTGTAGGCTGCATGAGATTTCAAGCATGACTAGAAGATTAATTCTTCACTTGGTTACTAATTATTGAGTTTTGTACTTTTTATTTTTTAACGCAGAAACTCACTCTATGATCAGTAAGGCAAACGAGATTTCTTAAAAGTCAGTTTAATATAATTATTATTTGCAAACAAATGAACATTTCACAAGGAGCATGTTTTCATAACAATGATAAAAAGGCAGAAATGTTATGTATAATAAAATGATATATATATGTATTACACGTATATTTACAATAAGTTTTCATTTGTTAACATTAGTTAACATGAACTAACAATAAAATACTCTTAAAGAATTTATTAATCTCAGTCTATGTTAATTTCAACATTTACTAATACATTATTAAAATCATAGAGTTATCAGTGAATATTAGTTGTATATTAGTAGAATAATGATCCTGCACTGTAAACAAAGTTTTAATTGTTGGTTCAAATAAAAACTAAAAATTAAGTAACCTGGTTGTCTGTTTTTATTAACTAACGTTAACAATGATAACAACTAGTTAATGATAGTTTAACTCATTAACTAATGGGACTTTATTGTAAATGTTAGCTAGAACTAAATTAATCCGTCACTAATGTGTTAACTAGTTTGTTGTAATTTACCTGTGTTTATTTTTATCTAAGGCAGAAACTCACTTGTACAATCTTGTAAAATGTAAATTAAAACTATTAAAGTTATTTGCAACTCCACAGTTTCTCTTTGCACACTTTCTGTTTATATTTCACAATGGAGCATTTTACCCCCTATTTTTACATCACAAAACTATCAGTGAAATGCTAAATTGTTGACTCGAGGATTAATAACATGGTCACTAATGTTGTATTTTTTTACTTTTTCATTATTATAATTATAATCATTTTTAAAATCTAAGACAAACTCATTTTTGTGAATCTCTTATGGTTATCTTTGCACGCATACACACACGAGAGAGATATCGTGCAAAGGAACATTTCACAAGGAGCCTTTTCCTATTTTTATCATTAAATGATGTGGGAAGTCAGCAGATTTAGCAAAGAACTGCTGTGGTGTGCTAGCAGCTAACAGGAAATGATCTCACGCACTTCCTGTTACACTGAAATATGCTTTCTATTATATATGTTTGGTGGGATCTAGCGCAGAATAATGTTCATTTATTTGTTTGTTTGTTTATTTTGAGCATTAGCGTTTAGCATTATTAAGCGTTTGCTAGCTGACAGAAGGCAGGAGGTTAGCAGTTTATTTCCATAAAAGAATCAATGTAAACACTGTAAAAGAAAAAACAATGTTCTTCATTATTTTTTGTCTTGTTTTCCAGTACAAACTGTTCTGATCCTGTTGTGTGAATATCCAAAATACAATAAAAAACACTCTATCAGTTTATTTATTTGTTATAGGCTATTATGAAAACTTTTTAAGTAGCAATAAAACGTTTTTCCACTGTGAAAATATCCATAGCTGGGTCTCAATTCGCATACTATCTATCCGTCCTAAAAAGTAGGCTATTAGAGTTCGTTTTAGTGTGTCCCAAATCGTAGTATGTTGAAATGAGTATTCCCAAGAGACCCGGATGATGTGTCTACTTTTCCGGAAATGCAAACACAAACTACAAACACGAATAAAACGTGTTAAAAAAACTACAAACATGGCGGATGTGCGAGACCGACGGTTGGGTTAAGGCTAGCAGAAGGGGGTTTGTTTGAGTGATTAATTATCAGACAAAAAATATATTTATTTAATGTTATCCACACTATATTTCATCTGCAACAGCATTGTGAACTTTTGTTAAGATGCGTTTGGTCATTATCGTTAAATCATTATGCAAACACAATGAGGAGAGTTCATGACCGGCAGATCAGCGTGCTACTAGCCTACATTCCTTTCCAAAACGGTAGGAAATTAAATTACATTGAATGTGGAGGATTTTAATAGTGACAAGATGATTGACAGGGCAGTTTAAACGGTGATAGGAAGCACGGGACCAAGCGACACAATGAAGTAGCCTACTGTCCCAAATCTTGCCTACTCTTCTGCTCTACACACTCAAAAGTATGTACTACTAATTCTTCACACAAACAGTACATGAATGTACTTGTAGGGCATAGTCCAAGAATGCGAATGTGACGTGTGTAGTGTCCACTAGATGTCACTGTCGCACAACAGAGGCTTCGTTCACTTCAGAGTCAGCATATGGCGTCGATACGACTTCCTTGTACGTTTTCTCACTGCTAAACTCTCAAATACCTGCATATTTCCATTCTTTCTTGGACTAAAGAGGTTTTCCTCATATCGTCGGTTGTTTTCTAGATCCCCGCAGACTCCGCGGAGGAACGACTCCTCTAACCGTCCGGTGACGTCACTCGCCTGATTTGCATATCTCTGGTTATAAATGCTGTGATTCTGCGCTTTTCCTCACACTGCTGCAGGAGAATAAACCACTTCAACTACCAACACACACTCTGGTAAGCGCTAGAATCTCTCTTTTGCCTTTTAAATACTCGTATATAGCATAACATTATGCGTTTTTTGTTTATAATCTCTTAATTATACTACTCTAGATTTGCGTTTTTGTTTTTTTAGACGCTACTTTCTCTCACGCGCACATTTGGCGGATGTATTTGTGGGATAAATGCATCCGCTTTACAGGAAATGTGACTGTTAATCGCTATATAAGGTGATTTTTGCGATATATGTATCAGAGACAATAGATGCATGCATTTTCTTTTGTTCAGGAATGACTAAGCGTGATCATTTTTTACATCCCACGCCTCAAAATACAGCATAAATGTTCGGATAAATATGCTCAGATCAGTGCAAAAGCAGAAAGAATGTTTTGACTGATGGAAACGTTGATATGAAGTGAAATATGAGAGAATGGGCAGGAAAGGGCGGTGGTTTCTCAAGACTGTGATGCAACAGCAGCGTTTCCTTTTACACAGTTACTGCGTTACTGCACTTTTGTGCTTTTCTAAAGCATATTTAGATTATTTAGTCATGCATTAGAACATAAACTCTAACCAAATACCAAATGTTGGGGAAACATTTGGAAATAGCCCATACTGTTCGGTCACTTATATGAATATTAATGGAGATCGTCATGTGCGTGCGTGCGCGCGCGCGTGTGTGTGTGTGTGTGTGTGTGTTTCTCAGCATTAATAGCAAGCCATTTCATTTCAGACCTACTGCAAACATGTCTGACAAGCCAAATCTCGAGGAAGTGACCAGCTTTGACAAAACCAAGCTGAAGAAAACAGAAACTCAGGAGAAAAATCCTTTGCCGTCAAAAGAAAGTAAGCTTCCGCACACTTTCCTTTTGAGGAACATGAAATTATGATTGTGGAACCCAATAACACTTTTTTTTGCTCTTGTTTTCCAGCCATCGAACAGGAGAAACAGGCGGGCTCGTCATGAAACTCGTTCTCCACACTTCTATGCACTGTACATTCCACATTGCCTTCTTTTTCACGTCTTTTCGCTGTTTAACTTTTAACGGAAAAATATGACCTAAGTCGCATTGTGATTGGACAACCAAAAAAAAAAATAAAAAAATGCAGACGACCGTACAAGCCCTTTTTGTTTCTGTGCCCACGTACTCCTCTTTTTGTAAACCGCACCACTGATATTCTGATGAAGATTGTTGATACGGATGAGGAGGACGAGGAGGCGGAGCCGGGGGCGGAGCCAAGGATTTGAGTGACACCTAACAGAGACTCGCTCTTGTAACATCTCTGCTCAAATGCTTTAAAGTCATGCAGTGTTTTTTTGTATGTTGACGTCTTGGAATGCACAATTTTTGTTTTGTAATGCAAATAAAAGTCTGTAAAATTCAGATGGACATCTTTTTAAATGTTTGTTCTGTGCTTGTCGCTTTCAACTGTGTCGTTTACAAAGAGTAAAGTACAGCCTACACTTTGTTTACATCAATTTAACTTTCTTCTCTATTTAAAGGATTTTGAAAATCGATAGAAAAATATAATGTATTGTTTTGCAAAAAAAATTATAGCCGAACATCAATTTTAGAGCTTAGCATGAGCCAGAAAAACACATTTTGATAGTCAAATTTCAGTATTTTTTGTTTTTATAGATATTACAGATGTACAGTAGTGTCCAAAAGAGACGTCTAGAGGGGATATTTATTTTAATAACCCTACAAGATCGATTAAATCATCAAAATATGTTAAATATGAGGAAAG